GGTCTGCGACCGGTTGGTTAAATCGCTCGTCCGCCTCTTTCGAAACGAATTCGGGACGAATATTTCACGCAGATCACAGATTAGAGATTACATAGATATAGTACGCTGAATGTTACCTGCATTTTTCAATATTAAAACCCACGGATCCACGAGTTCCGTGCGCGCGAAACTGGATTTTCGTCGGAGGATGAAACAACACCGGCGAGACATCCCTAAACTCGTACCTCCGATGCAATTTTCCTCCAATCTATTTTTCAATTTTTCTCTGACAAAATCCGAAGCCGTACTCTGTGACGACACAGAGTGACGTTGCAGCGGCGAAACAGCGGCGAGTGTACATCAGCGAGAGTGCATCGAAATGATCGAAAGAGGGCGCCTGGCCGTAAATTATCATCGAACGGTTACACCGTAATTGCATCGCGATGAAATCAAACCACGAAACCACGGCTTGCGCGCGGAGACGACCCGGCGCCGAATGCATCTGCATTCATCCGTGTAATCACTTATAATTCACCAATGACACGCGCCACGACGCGGAGCGTGTCTCTTCGGAGCGATTTACTAGCCAAACGTTCTCGGCGTCTCGTCGCAAAGTAGCCCGTTTACGGTGCAACGATGCACCAACGGTGGGAGGGGAGCTCTCCCCCAGGAAGCATCCCCGTATCCTCGTAAATTATCATCGCCGTATCCAGCCGGATGCTCTTACACGCTCGTGTTTACACGCCTCGAGCCAAAGTGACTACCACCTGTCTAGTTTGCCCCTGTTCGTCGCGCGAGTTCCCAGCACGCTTCGGGGGGATGCCGCAGATCGAACGAAAGTGACTTACCGCCGAGACGCTGTCAACATAAACTCAGCCATTGCTCCTCGGGCATAACTCGACTTTCAACGACGCCTCCAACTTTCTTCCTCGTGTTCCCCGCGACGTCCGCGGCTCTGCAACTATCGAAACTCGTGATATTCGTTGACGAGGAAAAGGGGAAGACGGACCTGACGGTCTGTCGAACGGTTCGGGGCTCGATAGTTTCGTGCAATTTGTTTTGGTGGATTTCACGCTCGTTGGGAATTTAATCAGCTTGGATCGATAGACGAGGTCGATAGAGTCGCTCTGTTTAATTGGCACAGCGTGGACGCGTGATTTGTAATTGCAAATTATACATACGTGTCGATTGGTGGATTTATATATTTGCAGATGGTATCGGCACAAGCGTCGATCAAGTATCGAGATTAAGTATTTGTTACTCCTAGTGACTCGTTCGTGTGATTGTTACGTGCGTGCGTTGACCATTACGTCTAAATTTAGCGAATCAATACATTCGAAATCGAGGAATTTATTTCGTGTTAACTGGAGCAACATAGGATCGATTATGTTAATTTACTCTGTAGCTTTCATTCGTTTTACTTCTAACGAACGTTTCCCGAAAACATGCTTTCTATAAAAATGGAAGAATAAATATTGAACTAATACATTTTGGCACTAGAAAAATTGCTGATAGCGCGCAAACAGTTCAAAAAAAAGCACGTTGCTTGTTACGATTAGGCTACTGCTAATATCAATGATCCGAGATCGATCCAATTTATCATACATAAACGCAAGGAGAACGTCAGTCGTGGAAAAACTCTCGAAGAATGGATTATAATGAGATTTCGTTTCACGACGAATTGTTTCACCTTTTAACGCTATCTCAGGCTTCAGTGGAAACAGCAACGCTGCCTTCGCTAAATTTCCCATAAACCTCAGTCGTACATGAAGCTGCGAAATTTTCGAAATCGCGCGAGCCCGCGTAAAACTGTCGCAATTAACGAACATGAAACCGAAGCTATGCAAAACTGCCATTCCATTGAACGGCGACGTGCAAAGCTGCGCGAAACTTCCGTGGATCCGTGGAGCTTTCTCAAGCACGCTACACGTTCGCCGGAAATTTGCGGGACAGAAAGAAACTTCCTACACGCTTTGACAACGAAAGGAATTCTTTCGTCTCGAGATTATTCGCCATTAGCCTACGCGAGTTGCGATCCTACCTTCTTCCATTCCGTGTTCGAACACGTTCGAGTTTCCGCGCGAGAAACAAAATGTTTGAACTCGTCGTTTTCGAACGCCGCGGTTGCGTCGGACTGAGGAGAGAAGCTGAAAAGGGATAAACCGTCCGGAACAATAACGAAGCGCGGAATAAGAATGCAGACGGTGAAACGCGACTAGCGAGGGAGAAGTGGCGAGAGAAGTTAGCGATCTTTCAATTCGTTGACCAAACTCAATTCAATTCCCTTTATCCGCCACTTACCCTCTCCTCGCGGGCAACTTCTTTCTTATTCCGCCCCGTCGCTTATTATTCCTTTCTGAAAGTTATTCCGCGAGAATGCAAAATACGCGCGCGCGCGCGCGCTGCGACCGTGGGGTCACGGTTCTGGCTCGAGGAACTAACGGGGAAGGATCGTCGTGGAAAGTCCCAAGACTGGGAGGGGGAGCTAAAAGGCGTGGAAAAAAAAGTAGCTGTGGAGATCCGCGTAGAAAGTTTCGCGTAACTCGGAAGATTAGACAAGGCCGTTGGAGACAGCCGTTCGGTGAGGTTGCGAGGAAGGCGAGGGAGGAAGGTCGTCGGCCACCAAGGGAACGTGAGGGGGTGGGGGCGAGGTAGCGCGGCTCTTAGCGACGGACTTAAAAACAATTCGCCTCGCGGCGACGCGGGAATTTTAAACACACTTTTATCGACGGTCCGGGTGGCTTTTGTTCGGCAAAATCGCCCGAGGGGGTGAGAAACGTGGCGAGAACCGAGGACTCGACGCACTCTGTCCACGATCGAAGGGCTTTAAGGCAATTTACGAGGGGTTTTACGGTTTCAAGTGACGCCGGTCTGTCCTGATCTTTTTTCCATTCTCCCGTCCTTTTCACTCGCCAGTACCACCCTTCCCCACCCCCCCCCCATTCTCCCGTCTCTCGTCTTTCACGCGACCGCTTTATATTCAATGTTGTTTCAATGCCACCCTGTTCCGTGTCTTTCTCTTTTTTTTTTTTTCTTTCCGCCACCCTCCTCAGGGCGGCAAAATTACCACCGACAGGAAATATTTGTCTCGAAGCTTCCGTTCCCCGCGAAAATTAATTCTTAAGGGTGGCTCGAGGAAAGTGTCCGATTAAAAACCCGGGTCGGACGGGTGAATTGGAGCTCTCTCGTTTCTTTGTTTCTTCCGTTTGTTAAAGTGGCCTAACTGCCGGAAGTGCGCGTCGTGCAGCCGACATCGTTACGCGCACTCGCTGCCACGCGTAGCTTTTCCGGATAACGACGAACAGACGTCGATACACACAGGGAGTGAGATCCCCGGAGATGCCGCGGCGATAACACAAAAGAAATTCGCATCAGGGTAATGTCGCGGAAAGTTGGAGCGCCAGCTTAGGAAGCCCGTGTGGTTCGCTGTCTTTGAGAAGAAGTCGTGGCTGGAATTTGAAGAAAACCGGAGATCCCGGGTTTACTCGAGGAGCTCGACGAACGCTCTCAACCGTTGTTATACTCGCCGAGTGGCCCGGTTTAATCCGAAATTGCCGTCACTGGCGATAAGATAACCGCGAGCGAGTTAAACCGGCTAAATTGAGATACATCGCGCTTTCGCTGGGAAGTTGGCGAAGTTGGACGCGTTGATCATTGTAATTTTCCATCGAGGGGAAGGGACAGCGCGCGGGTTCGAGAGCAACGGTCTCAAAGTGATAGATAAACTCGGAAAACTTCTAGTGTTGGTCCAGCTTCAACGTCGTACAAGTTTAAACACACACATATATATATATATTTATTTAAGTTTCAGCTTTTAGGATTGCGTTGTTCCAGTAAATTCAATTTTCCACCATTATCTCGATTGCTTTCCTGAACGTACGTACGCGTGTCTACGTATACGTTTATATATGTGTGTGTGTGTGTGAAAAGCGGTACGTCAATTTCGACAAATTGCCAAAGTAAAGCAAAAGCGTGAATGAAAATATTTGACCGTTGGGAGAGACACGAAGAAAGTCTGCCCCGGTAGCGATCCGGACGGGTGAACGAAGGAAGGGTATCGTAGCTTGCACTTAGCGGCTCGTAAATTATCGTTTACGACCTGGGCACGCGGGAATTCGGCGCGAGAGCGTAACTGTCACGAGCTGCACCGGGAATATTTGCGTGGCGAAAAAGAGAACGGGATAGGGGATTTCGATTGCAACTCTTGTGGACGAGCGACTAAACTGGCGAGGAAGAAACGAAGGTGGTTGCGGAAGGTTAGCCGCTTCACTGGGCTGTAACTCGAACTAACCTCGAGAAACACCACCACCTCGGCAACTTGCCGCGTCAGCCTCGCTGCAAGATCGAAACCTACCTAGCCTACGGACAGGAAACGGATTCCAACTTCCTTCCTCGGGGGTGAAGATTAATCTCGGTGCAGCTATGCTTCTACCTGTGCCTCGGCTGGCCACCACTCTCTCCCCTTCTTTACCACCCACCTCTTGTTCTTCTCCTCGCTCGCTCGCGGAACCGCGTACACTTTCTCATTGGGTTCTTTCCGTCATCCGGTTTTATCAATCTGACTCCAACTAACCCGTCCTAACCGCACGGTCACGTGAATTTCCCTGGAGCGTCTCTTTTTCAGCTCGTTCCGTAATCCGCCAACTGTGAAGTGGCTGTTGGCTCGCGTTGGACAATGAAGCTCCATTTTTCTTTGGCGACGAAACGTTGATTCCGGTGTCTTGCGGTAAACGAGATTAATATTTCATCTCCCTGAAGTGATTGTCTCTTGCCCGGTCGTTTCTTTTTTCCTCAATTACCGTGAAAGAGGAGATCTTTGTAATCTCGAATATCGTCGAAAAACGATGCAATTAGGTTAAACAGGAGAAATAGATGACGATTTATTGCGAAACAAGAAGAACGTACCTCGGACGCGAAAGAATTTACGATCGTGTCGGACGTTTGACTAGCAGCACGTCTTCATTGCACGAAGTGTTGAACGTGACTCTTCAACTAGCACGTACCGCAATTTAATTTTCCAGATCCGTGCGGCAACGTGGAGTGCGTAGAGCCGGAAATCTGTCAGCTGGACGACTCGAGGCAACCTGGCTGCCGTTGCGGTGAGCAGTGCGGCCTTGAGTTCGCACCAGTTTGCGGAAGCGATGGTAAAACATACTCGAACGAATGCAGCCTCAGGCAGGAAGCCTGCAGATCGAGATTATCGCTGAGGAAGGTCTACAATGGCGCATGCAGCTCGGGTAATTTCAAATTCACCATTCAACTCGTCCAAGTTCCTAAGAGACGTCTGTACCATTACGCCGGAACGTGACGTGACAGTCTCTCCTTTCTCGAATAAAGTAGAATCATTTTGCAACTCTTCGCTATTGGACGTTGTTATTTTCAATTTTATTCAAGCTCACAACGACGAAATAAATTCCGCGTTAGACATTAACATTGTAGAGTAATAAGTAAAATCATCAGTGCACGCTAGATCGAATCTTATAAAACTGTTTTATTTTTAATATATAATTTCGAATATTTTCGTCCTTCTTCAATTCCAACAGAAAACAATCAACGTTTTCGCGATAGGCAAATACGCTTTTGATTGGCCAAGTATTAATCTAAATAAATGAACATATCATTTGAGATAATGAAGGCATACGGTCGTTACGTTATAAGATTTGTATAACGAAGAAAATTTTACAAACCCAACTCGTAAATTCCTTTCTCAATACTGAATACTGTCTACCTCTTGAATTCGAAAAATTATACATCCCAGAGGAGAATCTGAAAGTCGAGCAGCAACGATCCTTCGTCGTTCGTCTTCGTTTCCGTCTGTCCATTCACCACCAGCACACCCGTCCTGATTTAGAATTAAAGTGTGAACGTCTGACGTAAACTGAGCTGAACCATTTTTTTTATTTTTTTTATTTATTATTGAAGAACGGGATGTTTTTTTGTTTTCAATCTCGGGTGATTGTTGCAGGGATCAATCCGTGCGACGAGGCGAAGTGCGGCCCGTACGAACAGTGCGTGATCAACCGACAAGGGATCGCGAGCTGCGAGTGCGGCCCGGAATGCGAGCCGGTGATGAGGCCGGTATGCGCGCGAGGCGGCAAAACGTACACGTCGTTGTGCGAGCTGAAGAGACAGGCCTGTTTAACGAAGACCAACATCGAGGTCGCCTACACGGGGACCTGTGGCTCCAGGGGGCCCTGCTCCGAGAAGGTCAGTCGAGCCTCTCTGCTCCAGGTGTCAGACAGGCGGAACGTAACGTAAAGGAACAATGGCAAATATTTGAACGTGCAAACAAACACGCGCGCGACGTGACGAAAATCGAGGCACGGTCGCGCGAGGTGTGACAGACTCTTCGCTAAGTCGAGTTTTACTTTAATCTATTGCGCTGGAACGACGTGCCACGCACGTCGAGAATGTTTTATGCCCGAAAATTGCAATATTTCCTCAGTTTCAAGTAGGCAAAGCAAACAACAAACTTATTACTTCTCAATAATTTCTACGAGTTCAAAACGATAGCGACGAGTCATTTTATACGGTTATGGTCACTCGTTATGGTCCGCGCAATCAGTTGCCAGCGCAAGTGGTTAAGAAGAATGGAGGAGAGTCATATGGCTACGGGAGAAATTTTGCGTTGGCGCAAACGTTGTAGAAACGTTGATTTGAAAATTGCAAATGAGAGACGCAAGCGCGAAAAGAATGTAACAGAAATTTGTGTACGTACATTGAAATGTATAAGATCGAACGAACAGAAACGAAAGTCCGAATCTGCGTAAACTGAATACGCGCAGTCTATTTATCATGCTTCCTGTTAATCGCGATCTCTATGCACTCGCCGTTCTCCGTTCGTTCCAAAAAAGAAAAAAAAAGAAAAAAAGAAGAACGAGGGAACCAACGGAGGAGAAGTCAGCGACGGCCGCGACAAAGCGCTACGACGATTTACGTTAAATCCCGCGAATTAAAGTAGCGCGTAAATTTCGCGTTGCGATAAAATATCACGAGCGATAAATTATCGGCTTTGCGCCAAGCGACTATCCGAGAAAACCTACGACAAAGGGGCTGCTGTCGCCGAGAGGTGTGCCGTGAAAAAAGCAAACGATGATCCGCCGCGATTAATCTCGCGTTTTTCTCTCGGTTGAAACCCAGAGAAAAGGAGAGAGACGGAGAGAGAGAGAGAGAGAGGGGGAGAGAAGAAATGAAATGAATCGCCGCGTTTGGAATCGGAAACGTCCAGGAGAAAAAGTCAAGCTGATAGGAAATTCTTTTGCAGATCTGTCAGTGGGGCGCGATTTGCGCTGAAACCGGTGGCACAGCGATTTGCGAATGTCCAACCTGTCCGGCGGAATTTCAACCGGTTTGCGGCGACGATGGCATCAGCTACGGAAACGAGTGTAAGCTTCGCCTGGAGGGCTGTAAACATCGACGAGAGATCCGCGTGCTTTACCAGGGACTTTGCAGTGAGTACCAATCCCCGGCAAACGGGGGAATCTCTTTAATTCTCTGGAACCTTCATTCCCGATTCGTCGGGATCCACCTTTTTTCCTCTCTGGTTACGATCTCCTTTTCATTTTCGCTCGGGTGGACGCCTGATCGATCGTTTTGCACGTCCGGCAAATTCTGAATAAAGAAAACGTTGCATTTCTTTTACGATTGATAATTAATTGTTGACTTGAAACCAACTCGAATAGAACGGAATATTTTAAGTCTCTTCCAATTCGCAAATATGATTCTCCGATCTTTCACCTTTTCATCTATTCTATTTTCCACGGAAGTTCTGTATATCCGAGAGGACGATGCGAGAAACACGAATAACCACGAGCCGTTCATGGAACTGTAAGGTACACAGCGATCTTGATATAACTTCGATGTTAATTTCTCGATGAAGCTATCAAACCTAAATTGATTTGTCAGTAACACGCGTGAAAATTTGTAACGGAACGATGGAAATGGATCAGAAATTACGTGCAAATGAATTTAACGTGATAGTGTTATTGACGTATATTAGAATATCTAATTGTAGACATATTATTTGTAGATTGGGAAATAAATTATCGATAGGTTTGTTTAAAATGACGAGCCGTTGCAAATAACCGTCCACGAAGCAATTTATAGTCGTTCCTCCGCTCTTGCCGAAATAGTAGCTGATTAAGATCTTTCTGGGCGAAATTCGTTGATTGAATATTGATCGACCAGGAAAGCGGAACAATTAGTACGACGGCACTGGGTAAATAATTAAGGAAACTTTATTATGAAGCGAGTCGGCCGGCGAAGGAAAAATCGAACGACGGTCGATTCCGACTAACTGAGCTCGTTATATCGAACTCGTTATATCGGGAATTCGGTGTAATTAGATTCGGTCCACGGTTCTTCCTTCTTTTTTTTTTCTTTTTTTTTTTTGTCCAGCGAAATTAACTCGGAAGTTTAAGGATTTTTGTAGATATTCGATTTACCGCAGGATGATTTGCATACGATGCATGGGAAACCTTTTGATCCACCCTCTTCGCCAATACCATAATCCTGTTTGCATGTTGATCAACGAGGAAACTTAAGAATTTTTTCGTTAACGGTGTTTGCATGTTTATGAAAAAAATCCATTTATGGAAATAAATTTGCAAACCAGGGGCGAAATCTAGTTTAAACTTTCTATCGTTGGACCTTTGGCAAAATAAAGTATCATAAACGGGGGGGAAAAAAAAAAGGGGGGGGAAACTTCGGCGTTGAATATCGAAACAAACATCCTAAAACGCCGGATTCTTTTCTGGGATCTTCGCTGTTTATAAAAATACATCGAGCTAAACTTTCTTCGATCTAAACGACCGTTTCGATCGTATTCGGCGAAGGAAATCTCGGTGAGAGATTCACGCTGTTCACCCCGGACCGCACGATAATTTGCATGGTTTAAAATCGCGTGAAACTTCTGAAACGTACTGCCGGGATTTGGCTCGGTGCATATCGCGGCGCAGGTGACTTCAGCCCCTCGGCTGAAATTGTATGAGTTGTTACCCCACGGCATGCACGTTGCATATGCATGCAGGCTGCCTACTCGAGCCGCCTCGTCGTTGCCGCCTCTCGGCTTTCTCGTATTTCTATCCCCGGCCCCGACTTCGATTTCGCTGTCTACGTCGATCCTCCGAGATCCTCCACCGTAATACGAACCGTAGAAATTCAGAAGTCCTCCCCATTCCAAGCTGTGGGTTACGGTTCTCCGAAGGCTTGTTATCTTCGCAGACCGTAGCAGCGTCATCGACACATCGTCGAACGGGGGAGGGGGGGGGGGGATGAAACGGTAACCCTTTTCTCTCAATGAATTCTAAAGATAACTTCTTCGCTGCAAATCCAGCCTCAATGGTAACTGTACCTCCGTTTCCATCCCGCGGGGGAGAGAGTGCGCTCGTTTCCCTCGCCGTTCCTTCTCTCGTAGAGCGAATCCCCGCACGCGCGTGCACAACGACACAGGGGCCAGATAATCCCTTTCTACCCCCCCTTCTCCCCGAAGCGGATGCAGTTATGCAAATACCAGCGGCGAGAATCTTTATTAATGCCGGCTTGAACATCGGCCAGAAGGTGGCACGAACGGTACTGCGGAAGGCGAAGTGGCGGGGGCGTGCTGCCTCATAGCGCGTCGATGCGCCCGGAATATCACGGAAACGGAAGGAGAGGCTCGCGCGCCTCCTTAAACAATTCAGCCGGTTCTGGTAGGCCTGGTGAATTGGCGGCTCGTGCGAGATATCACGCGGGATCTCGGATTTCCCGGCAAACAGCCATCGTACGATTCCGCGGTGACGAATGGTCTGTCCTACCAAGGCGAGCTTTTTGCTCGTGGCCAATTACCAGGTCGGAGATGGATCGCGTCTGCCGATTGCTCACCGCGTGGTGGGGTGTTGCGAACCAGCCGGTTTCACTTGTTAATTGGCACCGTTTCGTTGTTTGTTCCCAGACGGATGCGAGAATAAGAAGTGCGACTTTTACGCGGAGTGCGAGAGCGACAGCGCCGGCGAGGCCAAGTGCGTCTGTCCCATCAAGTGCGAGACCACGGTAAGTTGACTACTATCAGAATGTATTTGCGTATTTCAATGAAATTTCCTTCTCTTTTGTTTTTTTATTTCTTTTTTTTTTTTACTACATTTCGTTTTTGGAATATCAAATTTTTTTCAGTCGTACGAAGTTTAATATACTTGGTCCTAACGTGCAATAATGAATATATATACAACTGTGTGAAGACACCTTTTGTGATTACTTTTCTTTCCTAACGTATTGTATAATTATCGTTCAATTATCGTGAAATGATTGAACGGCTCGGTTTGATTTCGCGCGAGCAATTAAACAGATTTTCCCGTAGAGATTGCGATTTGGTGGGAAGTAACCGCTGTCCGGTTAAATTTTCGCAAGTTATTCCCGTGGATCACTTTAATTGGAACGTTTGTGTTGGACGATAATGTCAGAGCCGAGCGAAAACACTCGCCGAGACACAAAGGAATCGAATTAAAGCGTAATACTTCGAAGAGAATCCCGCCGGTGCGGCGGATCTGCTGAACTTTCCGCGCTGAAACGCGAGTACACCGCAGCAAATTAATCCGTAAATCGTATTGAAATAATTGAGTTAATCCTTATCAAAGTGAATCGGACCGCATCGTCGGTAGCTCGATAGTTCAGTTAGCCGATTTCAATTTTCGCGACGCGCAAATCTGTCGGCGAAATGATAATTTTTATCCCCCATTTACCCCGGTCGCCATTTTCGTTCCTCCTGGAAATGAAATAGTGACGAAGCCAAGCACGAGACGCTTGGCGAAGGAAATAAAACCGTTGAAATTTCTGCTCGGAGGCTGGAGGAACGATCTCTGCAATAATTCCGCGCGAAAGGGCGTTGCACAGTTTACGCTGGCATTGGTACACGTCGAATCTGAAATCTCTTTGCTCAAAGTTTCGCGGAGGAATCTTTCCGACACCTGGAAGAAAAAAAACATGCGGAATCACGTTACTCTCTCTGGAGAGAGAGAGAGAGAGAGAGAGAGAGAGAAAGGTACGAGTAAACGCGAAGTTGAAAAATACGACTGTTCACGCTGCAACGTTGAAAGGAGTTATCTCAGAAAACAGTACTTATTTACCACTTTATTCCCTTACCGGTCCGAAGATCTCAGTTTCCAGACTATAAACTATTTCCAGAAGAGCTACGGTATTTATTTACGAGATTCGGTATTTATCAAGTGAGATGAAAAATTTCTCTCGACGTCGGGTCTACAGACCGAAATTCAGAAAAATAATTGCACAGGGGAAAGGAAATTCTGTTGATCGCACAGTGAGGGAATGATGGTCGTTGATCGTAATAAACCATTTGAACGGTGTCGATCTACCTATCGGCTTTCATGTGTTTACCACTATTCGTAGTGTTAAGTCTGGCTCGTTAGCACGGTAGCTAAGTAAAATATTCATATCATGATGGATGTGGCGTAGACATATATATAGTATATGTATATTACAGAGGCGGAATACGCCCGGCCTCAGTGCACGATATTTCGCGTTTCCGCTACGCTACTCGATGTTACGCGATCGTGTAATGAACCGTTCGTTTCACCGATACCGGCCGACCTTTTCAGATCGGCCAACATGCGCACGCCATTTTCATTAAAGCCTTTCTATCAATTTTCCTCTCCCCTCACGCTCTGTGATTTCATTGCTTTTTCGTTTCTAATTTCACTGGCCTAGCTCTTCAAAGCGCAAGGTCCCTATGGCCGATTCATTAACGCCGTACAATTTTGTTCGTTCAAACGGTAATTTGGCAAATTAATCGACGCCTCCTTGTACGTTGCGAACGATAATTTCGAAAGAATGGAATTCACCAAGGCTTTATTTGATTCTAACATTCTATCAGGTCTCTTAATATACAGTCATACGTATGTTTACAGTGATGGATAAAAGAAAGTTCAGAACAGACATTCTATACGTAAATAATACGTAATGTATTGTTTATGTTATATGTATCATAATATTTATTTTAATAACACGGCGTTTCTGTATAAATAATAAAATAAATAATAAAATTTGTGTTCAACATTTCATCTGTTTGAAACACTCTATTGTGGAATATGATACAATTATATTCATTTCAATTATTCAGTTTCACAAAATTACAGTGCTTTTACTCGTGAAATTTTCTTTAAGCTTTGTATCACATGTATGTCCTTTTTTACCAATTTTTTCCGCCGCTCGCGTAACTCTGACGTTCGTGAACATATACGCTCGGTTACACGTATCCGCGTATATACATTCCGCCATCCTAATCCCTCCATCATTTATCCCTTGAAAATTTACCGACACCTCGCCGTAATACCACATTGTGGCAAATTCGTCGCCTCCCTTGATCGTTCCCATACGAAACGTTTCCCATATCCGGCTCGTAACGATCAATCTTTCGAGGGACCAAGCGCGCCAAGTGTTGATTCTCCGCGAAATCTCGAGCTCGAGCAGCTGGGAAATGAATACGTATACCAAGAAGACAAAAGAAAAAAGAAAAAGAAAGGGGGAAAAAGGAATGCAGCTTTATCGCGAGTAATTCGCGACGGTTTCACCGAAAACCTCGACCCCCCTGGGCAATATTACCCGAGGGGGCAGAAATATTCGTTGAGAATGGAAAGCACGTCACGGTTCCACGAGATAGCGTTCGCCTCCTTCGATCCGGCACACGGATCGGAAATTCACGAATTCGTGAAACGTCCTGCTGACAAAACCACGAACAATTCCAACTTCTTCTTCTCTCTCTCTCTTTCTCTCTTTCTCTTTCTTTCTCTTCCGCGTGTACGACACCACCGTTCTTGATCGTTCGGATAACTGCTGCGGGCACGCGATTCTTTTTCAAAAAAGGGGAGGGAGGTGGTCGAACGCGGTACAAGGACTGGCCATTCCTAGCTGGCCCCTGAAGCTACACGGAAATCGACGACGCCCGCGTTGTAACACGTTCGTGGCTGATCAGCCATCAACTAGAACGACCTAACTATTATCGTCTCGTAAAACTTCCACAGAGACATCCTCGTTTAACGGCCTTATCCTTCCAGTGTTTCACGAAGTGGATCTATTTGAAATCGACGTGCAGGATGGGCTCACTGGAAACGTTGTTTAAGAGTTGATGGACTAGTCGAGGACAATAGAATTGGCGAGGTTCTCTGCCGATAGATTTCTGAGGATGTTTGTAGGAGACTGGTATCTAACCCCCTCGGGTGATTTGGCTTTGCCCGTACAACGTTACTTGCTCAGAAAGAAGATTGACGTAGAAATTTTACAAGCAAAAGAGAGACAGAGAAATTATAACGCAATTCGATTTTCAAACCAAAACTTCTGATAGAAGATATTTAGTTTGAAATTTTCATCAAATATGAATTATTTGGTATTTATATTCTATTACTTTGATCCAATTTACTTTCTCTTAAATATTTACTTCTTACGAAACAAGAAGAAGACGCAGAAAAATATCTGCCAACTCAATTTCGATCGGAGATCCAACTTTCGGGAACTTTCATTTTGTTTCTTTGAAAAGAAGATGAGAGAAATGGATACGTAAATGGATACGGATTGATTCGGACGCATCAGCATAATTTTTAGTACACGATCGATGGCCGTACCTTTCTCCCGCGTTCTTTCGTTTTAAACGAGAAATCACATCTTTCTCGCATGGACGCACAATGCTCCCACAGAATTTGACGCGTCAGCGTTTCACGAGAATGGGAACGAGAGGACTTTCGTGGAGAGACGCGGGATGAAAAGGACTGAATCAGTGGCACGGGTGAAAGAGATGAGGGTTAGGGGCATTGTTTAAACTGCAAACGAGGAATATCGGCGCGCCCCAGCCACCCTTAGAGCCTCGTGAATCCCGCCGTAATTGTCTTGTAAATTACAATAAGAAGGAGAGTGGGGAGGCGTGGTGCGTATCAACTTGTCGCGGAAAACTAATTAAAACGTATCGACCGAGGGCTACGAATATTTTCCAGAGAAGGGAGGGGTCTGGTCGTTGTGCCCCGCGTCCTTTATCATGCAAATAAAACTGTGATATTTATTAATCCGCCGAGTGAATTAAACCGAGAGAAAAGAACGCAACGGTGGAAAAAGGATTCGAGGATGAAAGCCTTCGTTCATCGCTTTGTAATTGCTTTTTCAAATCGATTATCCTGTTTACCACGGATAAGTTTCTTTGAAATTTAATATTGAAAATGTAATAACGCAAGGTAAATTGTTCCGACATAACACGAGAATTATGCGGCTCTCTGTCCGTAATTGTCTGTAATTCGATTAAACGATCGCTTAAACCACCGTTATCGCAGAAAAATTCTTTCTTCCAATTCCATTGCCAATATCAATTCCCGCGCGCTCGTTTTATTTATCGACTCGTCGATGACTCACCGAACAGAAAATGTCCCGCCGTGTGTTAAAAAATTTAGTGCCAAATATTGCGACGCAAGCGTCAGTATCGTGACTTTCTTCTGCTCTTGACGAAATTTTTTAATCGGAAAAGATATTTCGTTCCACCTATGTACAAATAATACAAAAAAATAAATGACGCATGGGAAAACACGTAGGAGTAACGCAGGAAAATTGGCAGAGGGCAAGTCACGTTGGCCGACAACGCGTGTAATAAGCAAACAACAACGAGGATACTGCGGCCCGGCTAATTAAGTTTCGCTCTTTCGCGTATTATTTCTCATCCCTGTGCGCGACTCTTCCCCCGACGCGCGGCGTCGCGACGCCAGCGTATGTCAGAACACCGGCCCGACTGCGCCTTGGTCGCGTGCAACAAGTGCGAAACGCGTTTTTTCGCTGTTTTCCTTCACGAACCTATCCACCTATGTGAACACCGGGGAAAGTACTGTACGCGTAACGAGATAGGCTTGGCGAGTCGGCAGAAAATCTCTCGGAAAGAAAACACTATATTTGGTATGTCGAAACTGATGATAATTACCTGATAATTACTGAAACGCTTGAACCATCTTTTTAGGAGGAGTCTATATATGTATATATTTATACAATTTATATTTTGTACAATTATACAATCCGATGTTTATACAAAAACGCTGCAGTTCGCCCGACTAAATAGTTCGAATGGAATCCAATTGATTCGTTTGTACTTCCGAGGGTCATTTACAGTCTACAGGTAGCGTCCTTATTCCAACTAGGGATCTCGTAGATCTTTTGTTGAGGGTCATCATAAAGCCTAATTTATAATTAACCTTTAACGCGCGTTTTAGTGTACCATCGACTTTCTTTACAAACGTTTGAACTATCCTTTCAGAAGAACCATCCATCTTTTACAACAGGAAGGAACTGAACAAATAACGATGAAAATTTGTCGATATTACTAGCTCGTAAAAGAAAAATAGTATGATTTACTTGGTCCCCTTTCACAGCGTAAAGCTTTCTACTTTGTCTGTTACTAAGTTTTTACTGTGGAATGAGGAAACTTGAGTCGAAACACTCATCGTCTGCTGAGTGTCATTTGCAATTGCAATAATGAAAGCTAGGCATGCGAATGTTTGGCCATCCAGGTCTAGGATTTGAAATATTAAGGTATGGTTTTGTTTGTGCGCGGGTGTATGTGTGTATGTGTGTGTACGAGTAACGAAGGTTTCGAGCAGGCAGATCGTAAAGGAATTAATCAGAAGATATCGAGACGTTTCAAAATGAAGACGCAGACAGTAGCGAGAGACTACGCATCGATAGAGAGTGTAGGGGACACGACCCAGGCAGTACCATAAATAATATAATAAATATGTCGCCTTTAACGTGAACTCTGGAGGCAGTACCATTAAGGCACTGAGGTAATTGCCAAAAGAAAAACCCTCATGGCCCTGACCGTTCAGTTCCCAATTAAACAGTAAACATTCAGACCCTTCGACCTGAAAAGCACACAAAGAGTCGGGGGTATATAAGGCCCGACTCCAACGCACAGAATATCACTAGTTCTTCGTCACCGAGATCGACACTAGAGAGTAATGAGACTGTAGAGAGTGCGGACGGTAGACAGACTTGTGAGAGTGTATAAATTTAACGAGAGCTTTAATATTTTTGTCATCGGGTCAGTCAGTTTAAAAGACAAAAAGTTCCAGTGCGGCGGTGACAAATATACATATATAATATAAAAATTTTCATATATAAGAATGTGCATATATACCAATATTCGTATATTGTTGGCCAAGTTCTGAATCGGGACGAGTGAACAAGTGTACAATCCAGATTTTTGAATCAAGTATCCTAAATTTTTTTGGAGTGTCGGCATTCCTGTTCTAACATTGATAGGACAGGAAACTGTTTGTTTGGCCAAATAAATCAGATCCCATAAAAATGGGTCATCCCATGGACAATAACAAAATGGACATCATTTCTAATCTTCCGCTCGAAATTTCTCAAATGATTCTACGTTATTTGGATCCGGAATCTTTGATAATAGCAACGCTAGTATCACGTAGATGGCATGAAATTTACAAATCTGATACATATCTTAAACGAAAAGTCAATGATTATTTGGAATTTTTGGAACGAATATTGTTTGAAAAGGAAGAGTGTGATGAGGAACGTAAGCGAGAACTCTGCGAATGGATTGCAACGAGTTGGATTCATGGTTAAATATACGTAAATGGTAAGAAATAATATTTTTATCATCGCTGCATTGGGCTATTCTTTTATTCTGTTAATCCATATTTTAATGAACTTCATTTAAAACCACGTAGGTAAAATATCCTTATATTAATTTCTACAAAATTGGCGGCTCTTCCTAGATTGAACCGACAGAATCCTACACTAACAATAAGTTCGTTTTCTTATTGTGTAAAATGTTTTCGTGTGAGAAAGCAAGGCTTTAAAGGCGTTCAAAGTTCAATAAAATGATTAAAAAAAATCGTATAGCAAGTTTTAAAGCGTCGTTGCAGAACGAAAATCTCAATCTTCAAGAGCATGGTAAATTTAGCTAGAAATGAAATTTTGCAGCGTTTTTACATACGTGTGAATTTTTACAATTCTTTTTTCAAAGAAAAGAACATTTTCCCACTTGCTACGTGATGTTAAAATATCTCGGCGGAAAAACGAATTTAGAGCAGTATATAGCAAAATAAGATCAAGTAGAATGTTATGTGATTCTTTCTTTACGAAGTTGTAACAGTTGTAAAAATGTCGACAATTTTTCGTTTAAATTAATCGCGGAGTGAAACTGACTTTGTAAAAATAGTTCGTATCTGACAGAAAGATGGTCGTGAAACTTTCTTTGGAAAAATAAAACACTAGACTTTGACAAAGCACTAGATGCATTTCGCTTTTTTTTTTTTGTATTCTACGTGAAAATGTCCGATAAAATATTCATTTTGAAATTCCATATGTGTGTTCAATTTTGCTCGTTTACTGTACAGTATTATATTATTAGTAGACTGCGCTAGATTTTTATGTACAAAAATACATATTTAACGTATATAAAAAATCTCCAAATAAGTTCAATTTATTAATGTTCGTGTTCAGAAAAACTTGCACAAAGGCCTGCAATCGAATTATTAGCGACAATTGGTGCATTCTGTTGCGTAGTAATCGTTCATTTTGTATGTCAATTTCAGGCAAAAGAACCTGAGCAGGAGAAAGTTTGCGGCTCAAACGGCGTGACATATCCCAACGAATGCTCTTTGAAGGCTGCCTCCTGCACTTCTCAAACTCAAATCACCGTTAGTTACATAGGTGACTGTGGTAAGTTCTTTGTCTAATTTACTGTCGTGCTCTCTGTGTACTTCGTACGTTCAGGCAATGTGCAAAATTTAATGACGCGAAAGGAAGATGAATTCGCTGAGTAAAGGATTCAAGGAAGATTCTATCGGGAACACATGAGGAGAATGTGAATGTTTTCAGAGCTTTGCGCGAGAATAGACTGCGATCATGGGGCTCATTGCATGGCTGGCGTCTGCGTGTGTCCGGACGAGTGTCCTGAGAGCACTGGGGAACCGGTGTGCGGCAGCGATACCAAGACGTACCCATCGGAGTGCGAATTGCAGAAGGCAGCTTGCGGAAGGGATCCTAAATTGCCGGTCTTGCACGTGATATTCTATGGCGATTGCGGTGAACGATACGCTGTTGCAGCACTCAGTAAGTCGCCCCATCTCTCTCTCCATGATCTAACCGCACTTTTTTCTCTCTCTTTTTTTTGTAAATGAAATAATTGTAAAAAGAAATCGTTAAAAATTATTCACCTCACGTTGAAACTACCTATAGCGTTATTTACGAAGTTAAAATAAAAATTACAAATTACTCCGAAAAGATGATTGATACTCGATCAATTGGAATACAAGATCTCAAGTGTAAAATGTAAAATGTAGAAAAAAAAAATGTTTCGATCGACCAGTGAAACTTGCGCGACTAACACGATAAACGCAACTGCTTGTTGTATTATTCGCTGTCAGCCAGCCCTCGGATATTAACCGCTAACGAAACTAACTATCTAACGACGTCTTCTGTAATGGCTTTAACTACTCTAACCGTCCCTTAACCGCTTCTAATAGCCACGATGTCGACGCCTGCGGTGGTTCGATTGGCCACCACCGCGGTTGACGTGACCAGCACCCAGGTACGCGAGGCTTGCAAGAACATTAACTGCGACTTCGAGGCGACCTGCGAGCTAGGGCCGGACGACTATCCGAGGTGTAGCTGCAAGTTCGACTGCGCCTCCATTTCTCAGGAAAATATGCGGCCGGTTTGCGGCAGCGATCTGAGAACCTATTCGTCCCTCTGCGCAATGAAAATGGAGGCCTGCCAGAGGCAGCAAGAGCTAAGACCTAGGCCCCTCGAGCTTTGCCAAGGTTCGCAGCAGCAGCAGCAGCAGCAGCTTGCGCAACTCGAGTCGATTCGCTGTATAATCACCTCGATCACCTCCGTTCCACTAGCTATTCCAGTAGCTCGTTCACTCTCCTTTGCTCTCTAACTCATGGGTTACCAAGTTATATACTCATAAGCGGCGTAGCTTAGTTTGCTTTCGGAATATTTTCACAGCTTTTGCTTCTTTCTATCGCATTTTATCTCCCGCAAGTTTATTTTCTTCCCCCTACGTTTTTGTGTAATTGTAAAGTCGCTTTCTTCGTTTTCTCAATTTTTTTTAGCTACCTTTGCGCTGAAATGGCGTGCCACGCACGTCGAGAACTTTTTGTCCCAAAATTACAATATTTTAGTTTTAAATACATTTTAGTTTTAAATATATTTTAGTTTTAAATATGAGTGTAACTAAATACATAGGCAAAATAAATAATAAACAATAATTCCTATCCAATCATATCGACGAGTTCAAAAAGAAATCGACGAACTATTGCATACGGTTCGGTCACTCGTTATGGTCCGCAATCAGTTGTCAGCGCAAATGGTTAGACGTCTCTCGTTAATTACATAAATTTGAATTGTAATTCGGACGAAACTCCTGGTCCAGGTATGGAAGTGAAACCGTGCAACGGTGATCCTCCGTTGGTGGATGCCGACGGCAAGGAATACGACTGTGGCAACGGGCCAGAACGACGAGACTGCCCGAGCAACAGCTATTGCCATCAGACGACGCGATTGGCTCGATGCTGCAGGAAAGGTCAGTTGCTCCGATGTCCCCGCTTCTAATAAAAATCCCTCGGAACGCGTTTCATTTCGTTCGGCGATTAACAGTAAACAATTTGCGAGATAGAGTATCGTACGGGTTAAACGTAAATTATTGATTGTCCAGCGCAAGGGACGCAAGTGGTGAAGTGTTCGGACTCGTGGCACGGCTGCTGCCCGGACGGCAAAACGGCGGCACGCGGACCTAATGGCGCAGGTTGCCCGAGTTTGTGCAACTGCAACAGGTTAGGCAGTGTTTCTGACACCTGCAACCCGGAGACCGGACAATGCGAGTGCAAACCTGGCGTGGGTGGTCTGAAATGCGACAGATGCATGCCTGGCTACTGGGGCTTGCCGAAAATCAGCGAGGGACATCCAGGATGCATACGTAAGAACGATCGACACCATTCGTGTTTGACGGGTTTACGTCACGAGATCGCGATTATTTTTCTCTATATTCTCGGAAGTTTCGTCGAATTCGTGGAATTCAGTTTATCGACAGAACGTTCGTTCGATTTCAATCGATTCGTCATTTATCCGAATGTTCCAGCGTGCGGCTGCTCGCTCTTCGGCTCCGTCAGAGAGGACTGCGAACAGATGACTGGTCGCTGCGTCTGCAAGAACAACATCCGCGGCCAGAAATGTGTGATTTGCACCGATCACAACCAGATATTGACACCGAGCGGGTGTTACTCAGGTACCACGCGGAAGAAAAGTAGTTCACCCCATTTAGTGTATTTCGAGGTCCATTCTCGAAAGTCGATTTCCCCGAAATCGTATTCATATTCAATGTCGAATACGAACCACAATCGATCTGACCATAATAACCGAATAAAATCCCTTCGACCGAAAGTGGCAAGCCACGCCAATTCCGTTCCAATCGAATAACTTCCCATCGATCGGCTTAACGCTTTTGTTCTCTCTCTGGTTGCAGCCGACACCATACCGCCGATACCGACGTCTTGCAACGAGCTGGAATGCTATTCCGGCGGCCAGTGTTCGGAGATCGGTGGTCCGCACTGTGTTTGTCCGTCGTCCTGTCCATCGGACATACCGTCCGTGCCGGTTTGCGGTAGCGACGGACAGACGTACGACAACGAGTGCGAGCTCAGGCTGTACGCTTGTCGTCATCAGGCGGACGTGGTCACGCAGGCCTTCGGCCACTGCAGAGGTGGGTTCACTGAACGTACGCCGTACAGGCCGCCTTATATTCTGCATTACTAAACTAAACTAACCATCGGGAGAGCACTTTTCGCACGTTGGATCGCCGGCTGCGCCTAACACAGGGGACAGGTTCCTGTCTGTGAGAACGCCTAACCTACACCGTAGAGATCGATCGGTCTTACCGATACTTACCTGGTCGATGACGTAGCGTAGGAGAGAATTCTGTCAATTTAGCTAACTTTCAGAAACATTCTGTTCGTACAGAGGCGAAGAACCGTAGGTGGAAGAGCGATAAGTCGTATCTTCTGTGAAGGATCAACAGGAACATGTATCTTGCCATGTTTCTTCGTCTGTACTTCGAAGCATAATTCACGAATAACGATAGAATGTGTCTGTTTGCAAGAGATTAAGTGACGAGCAGCGAATGCATATAATAATCAAGAAACGTTAGATAGACGAGAAGAGAAGGATTGTTTGGACGGTAACAATTTCGAGGGTTCACGAATTTTAACAGTAGTTTTAATTAAGGACAAGCAGATTATCTAAAAGTTGGAGCTTCAAATAGGGAATTTTAACGATGCAATTTAACCATCTCGCAGAGTCTTGATAGATACTAGGACTAACGTCTAGCCTGTTCCTTTGTATCCATTACGTGATAATAAACTTATCAAATTTCTACTAATATGTATACATATATGTTTATAACCCTTTTACACCCGAAGCGCTAGCACCTACGCTACTTTGCTTGCTTTCTTCTGTAACTAACTGTTGCTTCGTCATCTTTTCTTGAAAAATAAAGATAAAAACAAAGTAAGAAGAAAACTGAACGATCGATCAACGATTTAACGAGAAAGAAAGCAAAGTAAGTATAATTATTCACAACGAACGTGTCAATAACAAATTTGCTCGTTCGTTCTCTCTCGTCGATTTCTTTCTCCTCTCTTTCTTCTTCTCACTTCTCGATCGAGTTTGTTTAAACGAAAACAGGGAATTGAAAGGTAGGAAAGATCGTGCCGGCTACGTGAATTCCGCGGAATTCTCTTTATCCCAGGGGTACGGTATCTCACTCGTAGGTAAATTCCGGGAAAGTTGGTGACGTTAACTCGCGAAACTAAAGCGCCAAAGGTGGATTTAACTAAATCACCGTCGACTTCGAAGCGAAGTCTCGTCTTAAGTGGTCCCTGTGAGATATGCCCGGCCCGGAAACCTTAAGAAACGGTAACGAAACGTCTCCGGCCCGAGACCGTTAAGCGCAGCTCCGCCATCAAAATAAATTAGCCCGCGATAGATTTAAAGTCGTTCGAAACTTCCAACGAATGCAGTATCGACTGCTTTTTGATACCGTCGCCTTTCTGCCTTCTATAAATTCACCGTTCAGGGATTCGACCGTCACGATAAATCTAGCATTCTCTTTGCGTCCCCTCCCGACCTGTGCCTCTTCAAACCCTTTTGTCTTTTATTCCTTTGAACTTGCACGTTAACTCGCGCGAACGTGTCACTGATAGTTAGAAAACACGAGAAACGAAATTTACCGAGTACAAAGGAAGAGACAATATATCGATTTTATAGTATAAGAAGTCATTCGCAGAAGATCATTCGATTAATTCAATCAACATAAATCATCGTAGAATTCGAAAATATCGTCGGACCATCGTGCACGCGTAGTCGATAGGCAACGTGTCTCGGCGAAGAAGAAGAAGAAGAAGAAGAAGAAGAAGAAGAAGAAGAAGAAGAAGAAGAAGACGGAGAAAAGCACCCGCAGCTGTCGCCCCGAAGTATTCCACATTCACTGACAAAGTTCCCGGAAACGTCGGAATCTATTAAAGTCTCCTCCTGTAGGTTCCGTAACCTCTCACCCCTTATTTTCGATTGCTCAGCGCCCCCCCCCCCCGCATCCCCCCTCGAAGCTCCGCCTCCGTCAGCAACGTCGCCCAGACCCCTCTCTTCTCTTTGCTGAAAGTCAATCTCTTAAAAAGTTCTTTTTCCACGAAACTCGTCCTACAGAGTCAAACATAAATCAGATTACTTCGAGTACGCGAACCATCCCCTGACCCGCCTCAGCCTTCCTCGCCGCTGTGACCGTGTTTTATATCGAGAGCACGGGGCTTCGTTTTCACGGACTGCCGACGGAGTGCTACGCACCAGGATTTTGCAAACGAACGAACAAACAAACGAATCCACGGAACCGTGCACGGTCGACGCCACATTCAACTCCGTGAATATTGCATATCGCAATTTCTTCGATGTTGCTCGCGTGATCTCTTAGCAGCACCGGAAGAAGAACAGATATCCCCGTTTACGTGACGCGGAGGTTTGTTTAGGGTGCGTTTGATCGATGTAGCGGACAAAAAGGGTAAGACCGGGGCCGATTAATTATTTCGTTCGGGAGGAAAGGTTGGAGCGGTTTCAGGAAACTCCGAACGGTCGAAGAAATCATCTTGTGCGAATGTTTGTTCATACGTTTTCGTGATTCGTTTGCTTCGCACTTGAGTTAATTAACCTTCCCATCAATTTGTTCCAATTTTACGAAAATTCTACTTCGAGCAGCTCGTAGAGTCTTGTCTGACGCTTGTTTCATCGTCGTGGCACGTACATAGTGAATATAACGACGAGCGACGGAGAAGACGTTCAGAGTATTTAAATGAGCCGTGATCGACGAAGGGTTCGCGAGATACGCGATTATATAATGCGAGCTCGTTCACCTTTGAACTCGTTAGCGGCAATTGTTCGTTCGCGGGGATCGTTAACGATTCGAGAAAGAAATAAACGCGAAGCGCCGCTGGAAGTAGCTGCGCGACTCGTCCTGTTCCACCTGTTCCCACCACCCTCCGCCCGCCACCCACCCAACGCCAATTCGAATTCTCGACTTCATGAAAATTCCACGCTTTCAGCAGATAAATACGAGGCTAATACCACTCCGGGGATTCTTCGGTACTCTTTGTAAAATAAACAGGGAAGGGAATGAAATAATGGAAGAGCGCAAACGGTAACGTCGATAGAGCCGGCCCCCATTCGTCGATGAAAAGGCCAATCGTCGAAGCCGATCGGGAAAAAGAAACGATTCTCTTTCTCTCTCGATTCGTAAATGTCAACTCGTATTTCCGTCAGAGTATTTCTCCTCTCCGCCAATCGTCGGACTCTTAAATTGACTAAATCTACTCCCCTCGCCCTCCTCGCGCCGCGATTTTCCCGAAGCAGAAAATATTTCCATGAGGGGCAGGGGAAACGACGGAGAAGCGAGCTTCGTTGTCGGTTTGTCTCGCAGTCGATAAAAAAGTTGATTATATCGAGAGGAATACGATCGGCGCAGCTTTACGGAAGGGGTAAACGTTTTAAAAACCGAGAGTGGAAAAAAAAGGAAAGAGAAAGAGAAAGAGAGAGAGAGAGAGAGAGGGAGAGCGTACAGCGAAAGTCGTCAATGTGAAATAATAGGAAGCAACGCTGCAATTGGAAAGTAATTAAAATCCCATCAAGCTGTCTTCCGTTTCTGTTGTCCGCTCAGAGTTCCTTGTCTCGATGGAATTAACTATCCGCTTTTTATCATTTAGAAAATTCACAATGCAATTCTGCAGCGGGTATTCTCTGTATCCGCTCGCCACGTTGAAATCGTTCGCCGAGTTGTATTGCGTGCGTTGTACGAAACTATTGCGTTTCAATAGAACTAGTCGTTATCAATGCAAATTCGTTGCTCGTCCAAGACGCGTTTCTTCTCCGACTTATTGTTACGAACGAAAGCGAACAGCGAATGAAAGATTGGTGAAATTTTCAGACGATCCAATGGTGAACACGGACTTCCCCGTTAAAAGGTACACGGCGGTGCAGTACACGCAGCCAGCGGCCGCCATTTCCCCGTTATCGAAATCCACGAGGCATCTGTTGGTGCCGGAACCGGATCCACGCTACTATTACACCCACAGGGCGCATCAAGAAACCATCACGATCGACAGGGACAATTTAAAGCACGGTAAAAATCGGAGCCGAAATTCCATTCCACGCCGGCTCGCGGCGATATTTCATCCGATGTTACGTATCACGTAGCGGCCACCGCTGCTACGAAATCCAATCTCCATCGCGCCTTCTTACATTTCGTTTTAAGACGAACTTACGCGTTCCTCCTCTTGAATTTCATTCTTCCGAATCGCCGTAATCTACCTGCATCTACGAACGTGTCGATCCGATAACGAAATATTCGATATTCCCGGGGAATTGAAGTCAGTTTTAACGAAACGAATCTACACGCGCCATTTTTATCGGGAGAGTCGGGAATCGTTTCGAAGATTCGAAGCTTTTAGTGACCATTGTGCTTCGTAACTATCGTCGTCGCGACAGTAACGTTCGCAGCGTAATTAATAATTATAAATGGCGTCAAGATAAATGCTAAGAATTTACGTGTCTGCGCATTCGTCGTGCCTCTCTGTGTGTGCGTGTATATGTTTGCCTGTGTGTCGCTTCGATTCGTGCACTGCCAATCGTGTATCCTCGCGGCGATTAATTCTGGATCAGTTCAGCGTTCGACGATCGGATCGATGTCGCTCGGAACAACGTCCGCAGTAGAAGCGCTGTTTTCCTCCGATCAGATCCGATCGATCAGACGTCGATTTGATTTATTCGACCAATTTTGTTCCCTAGGTGTGGCGGCGGCGTACAGGCCAACCCCGGCGACGATTCGCGTGGTCACCGCGTTGCTCGGCGACCTCTGCACCGACGACAAGGATTGCACCATTCCCAACAGCGAGTGCTCGAACGGCGGCTGCATTTGCTCGGAAGGATACGCGGAAACCAGCGACAGGCAGGAATGTTTCGGTAATTGTTTCGACTTTGTCCATTCGACGCCCCGTTCTTGCAAAGTTCTCCCATTTGTTCGATCGATTTGATTTTTTCCTTTAACCCTTTCGTTACGAGCATCTATTGGCGAATATCACACGTTAGAAATACACTTTAGTCATCAAAACGAGAAACTTTTTCTATTTTCTTCCATTCGAACAGTGGAATAATTGCACGATGAGAAATTACTGTAATAAAAAAATCAGTCTTAATCCATTCTAATTCGGAAAGAATTCGCTCAAAACTTCAAGGTTAGATTTGTAGAAATCGCGACTTGAGACCCCAATTTGTAGTAATTTTGGTAAAAGATGGTTGTTTAATAAAGTTAAAAAATAAGAAATTTCGTTTAATGATGATTTTTTTTTTCACTGTTCTCTCTTAATTGCTATATTTACTCGCTAAACTCGCTCTCAACTCACTCTATTCTCTCTGAATGCTCGAAACTCACTTCTTCCTCATCTGCACAAAAATTCGCCATTCATACACACAAACGCATCCATACTTTTAATATCTTAAATTATTACCATAAACATTCCCAAGTCTCAGGCCTAACTTTCTCTACAGTGCATGGTACGCCACTTGGGACATCTGGCTACAATTGTTGGGCACTGGACAAAGTTTTTGGCCCTTTCGCAGAATTTGCCCATCCCACAGATTTTTGTTTGAAAAATTAAAGTTTATTTTTAAAAAAAGTATTATTCCAGGCCTTTGCCAAAATGTTATCAGGAAATCAAAAGAAGATTCTATTTCGTATGAATGGATTCGAAAAATGATTCGATCGAAGTGTATATAATTTGGTCGTGGGACCTCGTTCAGTGGCGACACTCCGCGAAAGGGTAAATACGTCATAAAGATATCGAGGTAGAAAAGTAAAGAAAATTATTTTAATCTTTCTGAAACAATAACTTAACCTTTGCGTAAAATATTCTGCATTCTTAGAAGAATGCGGAAGAAATTAAGAAATGGAGTGCGATTCGAGAGAAAGAAGAGGGTGGAGGAAATAAGCGGAGGGAAAGAACCGGTTTATTTTTTTGGCCTTTGCCGAGAACTCGCGCCGTTTGACGACCAGAAAGAGAAGAATCTAATTGACCTGTTTCCAGCTAATTACGTGCCTGTTACGCCGACCGAAGAATTCCGTGCTTGCCTGTCGTATCCGTGTCACCCGACGTCGACGTGCCTCGATCTGCCGAGTGCGACGTTCGCTTGCATCTGTCATTCAAATTACACCGGTCTATTATGCGACGAGGAGATCAACAAAAGGGATTACGAGGTGCCGTCGTTCGACGGCAAAAGCTACGTCAGGATGAACAGATTGAAGGCTTACCACAAGTTCAGCGTCGAGGTTGAGTTCAAGACGTACGCTGACAACGGGATTATACTTTACAACCAACAGAAGAGCGATGGCACCGGGGATTTCGTCTCGTTAGCCATCGTCGACGGGTCTGTACTTGTTATCTTCTGAATTAGTATCGTGCAGTTGCTTGTATTAATAATATTTTGATGGACATTATTCCTGAAATGATCGTTTTCCAATTTTATTACCGAGACAACAATGGATTGCTTTCAATTGAGGAATTACTTAGAGTTTCCTTTTTCTCTCTTTCTTTTTTTACAGACACGTGCAATTTCGATACAATTTAGGAAATGGTCCTGTCATCCTGTCCTCCCCTGAAAGAGTTACCATGAAAACATTTCATCGAGTCGCGGCGAAGAGATACCACAAAGACGGCGTTCTGATTTTCAACGACGGGGAGGACGTCGCCGGTCAAAGTCAAGGGATGTTGAAATCGCTCGATCTCAACCAAGACACGTTCGTCGGAAATATGCCAACGAATTACTCCAAGTGAGTGTTTCCCTCCAAAATGACTTACTCCAAACTGACGTTCTCCCATATTCTGAAATATAGAATTCGGTAGCAACCTCTGTTAAATTTTAAAATTTAACAACACCATCTATCCGTGCAGGGTTTACGACAATATCGGCACCAACCACGGTTTCCTGGGTTGCATACGAAAACTAAAGATCAATCGGAACTTCGTCGATCTCCACGTGGGCCGCAACAAGGAGATCTTGGAGACTTACCGAGTGAAAGAGTGTGGGGAGAACGCGTGCGCGAATCTGCCTTGTCAAAACGGTGCAACGTGTCAGCCGATCTTCGAGGAGGATCGGTGCAACGGCCGCGAGTGCAGAAGAATGCAGAAACGGGGAAAGGGCAAGAACGGGGTGAACATCGTGAGATGCGAGGGGACCCATTGCACCTCGATCGATCAACGCAGGTCGAAGAAAAACGCGAAGAAACGTTACGACGTCGATTACGAGGGCAGTTTCGAGCATGGTAACTACGCGGTGGAGCAATTCGAACCGCCTGATTACAGATGCATCTGTCCACCGCAGTTCACCGGTAGAAACTGCGAGGAGTCCTTGGATCCTTGTATAGGCGAACCTTGCCAGCACGGTGCCACCTGTGACATCCTGCCGCAAGGTGGTTACGTGTGCAAGTGTCCACCCGGCAGAACTGGAGAACATTGCGAGAACCGTGAGTAAAAAAATTAATTATACATTAATTATCGGTACGTTAACTCGTTGAGAATCAACTGGTCGTAATGTTACAAGTGACTTCGACTTTTTAAATTTTTCTATTTGAAAGATTAACCACTTGCGCTGGACAACTGATTGCGGACCATAACGAGTGACCAAACCGTAAACAATAATTCGTCGCTTTCTTTTTGAACTCGTCGGTATGATATCACTACTAGAGAAGTAATAAATTTATTATTTGAATATACTTAAAACTAAGGAAATATTGCAAAATCCTCGACGTGCAGTGGCACGTCATTCCAGCGCAAGAGGTTAAAAAATATAAAATTACAAAATATGTAAGAATCATGTGGTTTCAATCCCGGACGAGCCGCCAATATTGCGGGAATAAAATAATGCCAATAGGATATTACGAGGTTTTAAATAAAGTTTATTAAATAGAGATTAACAGAATAAAAGTCCTAATACGACAATGACAAAAATCATATTTCTTATCATCGACATATTCATTTACGTAAGTTCGGAATATAGATGATACAGCGTATTTCTACCTTATGACTTCTCGCAGTTTGTTTGTTAAGAGATATTTCTCAGATCTCCGAACTTTCCAGCCATTTACGTGATACTTTCCCTGCACATAATAAAGATCCAACAGAACAGCCATTTGCAGCTTGTACAAATCAGTATTCGAAACTCGTACTTGAGGGACTATAGTCCGTTACCTTAATATTTTAAATCCTAGATCTGGACAGCTGACACAAGCATTCGCAGACCTAGCTTTCGTTATAACAATTGCAAACGACACTCGGTAGGCGACAATTGCCTCGCTCTTGGACCGGAGAAATTTTACGACTTAGGTTCCCTCGAAAATTATGAATGGGAAATGGAAAGTATTGAGGAGAAAAATTTGGAATTTCCTTTCAGAGTTTCTAACACTGAAGAACAAAGAAGAACTGATTCTTAACGAGTTAAAAATTAGTAACGTTTCACCTCCGTCATGGGCAGAGTTTCCTTGTCGAATAATTGTTGTTGTTGAATGAATTACAGTCGACGCTGAATTAACGGAACTACTGATACCAGAAATGTCTGGCGACGGGTTTCTGGAACTGCCGTGCTTGGAGGGTGTAGCGAAAGCGTTCTCCATCGAGTTATGGTTCCTCACGCACGCCAGCGACGGTTTGCTACTTTACAATGGCCAATTGAACAACGGACGCGGTGATTTCATTAGTCTGAATTTAGTCCAAGGCAAACTGGAGTTTAGATTCAATCTTGGAAGTGGTATCGCCAATATTACTTCCCCGGACCCGGTTACTCTCGATACGTGGCATTGTGTCCGCATCAGCAGGCTTGGCAGAGAAGGCGTTCTCCAATTGGACGACGGAACAGTTGCCAGAGGACTATCCGGAAGTCCATTAACCGAGCTCAATCTGGAAATGCCTCTTTACGTCGGCGGTGTTAAGTGAGTTTCGAAACAGTTCCTCCTCCTTCGTTCGAATGAAAATGTATATTTTCAATGAGAGGCAGCGTATTATATTCCTTGAAATTATAGACACTGGCGAGAGGTTCATCGACTTGCCGGAGCTTGGACTGGATTGGTAGGTGCGGTGCAGAGGTTAATGGTAAATGGGAAAACTTACCAGAACCTAGCCGTCAACGTTACTCAACACAACACGGAAATCTACGATGGTTTACCGTGTCCCAGCAACGAGAATCCATGTCACAATGGCGGAGTTTGTCTGCCTCTGTTAAACAGCTATCTATGCAAATGTGCTACCGGTTACAATGGCCTTCATTGCGAATTTTGTAAGTATCGTTTGCTGCACATTGCGTGGATAAATGAGCCAGTACTAGTAGTAACAAGTGGACTGTGGATTTTTATGTATTTGTAAGAAACTTGGAAGTACAAACTTGCACAAATTGTATATAACAGGGTGAGTTACTCTAATATAGTAAACTTCTTTACGCATATTTCATCAATTTATGACAGTTTTAAATATTACGATTCTGTAAGAAATTTTATGCTCCTTTGACTGATAACAAAATTAAACGAGAAAGTAGTTATCGGTTGAAATTAATTCTTTTTTTAAACCAACACCGGTATTTTATTTTATAATCATCATACTAGAAAAATCATTCTCTGTATTTTTCAAAAATATTGTGTTAACCAATACAATAGAACAATAGAAATTAATGATTTGCACGATTATATAAACGATTGAGCATATTTGAAACATAATCGCAAAAATAAAGTCGATGCTTAGTTTTATGACATTAATTTAAAAATTCCTGTGCAAAAATTCTAATAATATAATTTGATCTAATAATACGATTTCTTATAATTTCTGCACACCCTTTTATATGCATTTCACATCAAGTACATATTTTACCTTACGCAAGGATATACGAAATATCTGAAGTGGAGTACTCGTTACATAAGAATTCGCAGTCTAGCAACAAGTAACTGATTTTGTATTCAAAGAATGTCTCTCTCTTTCTTGATACTTCTAGTCATGGGCTACGACGTATCCACGGAATTGTCGGAAAGACCAGTGCGCTTCAAGGGCGATAATTTCTTGCAGTTTAGGCACCGGAATGGAAGAAGGTAAACGAAATTGATTAACGCGATCGGGACGGGTGAAAAACGTTTTCTAAAAAGTTTCTATCGCATAATTCCTAAGTCACTGCATCTAACACCTCTCAAGGTACTATACCGAAATTAGGAGCACCAAGTTAGGTTGTTCAATAACGGTAGTAACGGTAGTAGACTAATTAGATCCTTCTTTCGATCAAAAGTATCACTAACCTTTTTTGATTGTGTAACACTGACTAGTACTAACTCGACTAATACTACCCTCGGCGAGTACTTTGAGGAGTCCTACTCCGACTACGACTTGGAGGAGGATGTCGACTACGATTACGACAGTTACGATTACACGGAGTAAGTTTCTAGGAAGAATAGCTGTGGTGTACTCGTTTGAGGGAGAGATCTCGTTCTCTGTGCCTGTGTACTGCCTGTATCTGCTACCTCATTCCAAACTAGAGACAATGTCAATATCATACCCTTCCGAACCAAATCGGAGAAACTTTCGGCGTTCATCGTTTCTCGAATCGATCGTTTCTCATTCGAGGAAGATGCCAACGATGGTTAACACAGTTTAACGAATGAAAGAGCATAAAAAATTTCAAAATTACGGGTCACAAGGTCACTAGGGTTGATATTGTACGATCTTTGTCCATTTTATAGCAATGCTTGTTTGTATGTATTATTACGTGTTTGTTCTGTGGCACTGTAGCTCGATGTTTAGTACCGAGCATAGTGAATTGTGAATTAACGGAAACGATTATTTTAGGCGGAAAGGTCAACAGTCGAATAAGTTCGAGCTGAGATTGAGAACGACGCATCCGGATGGTTTGATCGCCTGGGTCGGAAGAGGGAAGATCGAACACCTCATCTTGTCGTTACACGGCGGCCAAGTTTTTCTTACGTACAAAACCAAGAGCGAGCAGATATCTCTGAATAGCAGGGTTTGTACACATTTTTTCAACTCAACTCGTTTGTTATTAATTTAAACGTTAGTTACCATCGATCAATAAAATCGTCAGTTAATAGACTGTAAACTTTATATACGAGTTTTAAAATTTTTGAGAATGTACTTGCCAGAAACCTGGAGAGAAAGTTCTTTTGCTTACTGAATGTCGAATAAGAAGCGTTATAGCGCCAGATGGATGCTAGATATTTAACCCTTTGACAGGAACTTTTATGTCGAGTCACACTCGACGTATTTAAATTGCCAATTAAATTGCAAGAAGGAAAAAAGAAAAAAATGGAGTGCAAAGGATTAAATCATGGATATTCTGTGTAATTTTGCATTTTTAAATTTATTATGAACGTATAAGGAACTACAGTCTCTTCACTAATCGCTAAATTATTATTATTACTAGTAAATTAGTAAATTTATCTTATTATACTATTATCTAGTAAATTTATACTATTATACTATTATCTGGTAAATTACTATTATACTAGAAATATTATCGATATATTTCTTCGACGCAGGAGCGAGTGGACGACGGCGTGTTCCATTATATCAGAGCATCGAGAAGGCGGAGGGCGTCGATGATACAGATCGACGACTTCGCCCCGGTGAAAGTGTCGACAGAGAGCAGCCTTTTAACGACGAACGGCAAGCTGTTCGTCGGCGGGAAACCAGGCCATCGGGGCATCAAGGGCTGCGTGTCGGACTTCGTGGTGGACAAACGGCGTCTTCAGTTGAACAGGCGGAAGATCGAGTACTGTCACGACAACGATGTATGATAACGAATCCCGGAAACGACGATTGTCAACGTGACGTCGCCACTGGCCACGCTCGTCGATTGGACGACGCTTCTGTCCTCGACGAGTTAGCACCAGCCTAAAAACCGACGAAGATGAACGCGAAAGGAAATCGTTCGGTGGTGTTCGTTTCTGGGGGAAATGGGAGGGAACGGGAACACACGGGGTGGCCTGTGGACGCGATTCGTGAGGAGAAACGAGGCGAAATGGAAACGAGATGGCGGAAGGAAACTGAGCTCGAGCTCGATGAGGAGACACGTGATTCCTGCCAAAGCTGTGCGAGAGAATTGACGAGGAATGGTTCGCAAAGGATCGTTCCGAAGGAAGGATAAATCGCAGATGCGATAACATCGGCAAAGCTAACTTGTACATTCATTTTTCGTTCGGGATGTATAGTATAGTAGAGAAACAGAGGGCCGCGGCGCGAACGACGATAAGAGAGGAGTATCTCGCGTTGAATGTTGAACGTTCTCACATCTAAGGACAATAATATATTTTTAAGGTGACGAGATTAAGATATACATATGAATACATACATGTATGTATAAAATTTATCGCGTATACGTATAAACTTGGGGGAGGGGTAGAGGGTTGCTTGTAAAGCAATCTGGGGTTGAAGCTGAGAACAGGAACAGCGGGTCAAGGGGGGTTTCCGGAGTCAAAACAAGGATAGAAAGCGGGCGTGAAAGCGGGATGAAACTCATCGATATTCGTTTAGACGTTACTCTGTAAGTTAAATATATCGAAGCACCTATAAATGTTTTACGATGCCAAGACTGATTAATGCGGGGGGGAAAAAATAGAGAGAAGGAGAATCGGGTGAGTTAAGATAAATAAGTAAGGCAAAAAAAAAAAAAAAAATAGTTAAAAGAGAAAAAAAAACCCAGAAAAAACAAAGCGATAAATCGGTGTTATGTTTGAGTGTTCGGTAGAGAGATTTTAAATGATTGTGCATTATCAGAATATAGAAGAATGTATTTTAAAGGACTTGTTGATTTACGCCAGTAGAGAAAAACGATAAAAGAGAAAAAAAAAGAAAAAGAACATAAAGATGAACGAATAAAATAATATACATACAATATATACATGTACACACACGGAACACACGCATAAATAAGAATTATAAGAACAGATACGCCGTACAACGTTGTTTCTAGGCAAGCAAGGCTTTTTACAAATGCGCAAAGGAATAGATATATATATATTATATTATTATGATTATATTATATATATAAATATATATAAATATATATTATATATATGATACTATATACAGATTACATTCCATACAATGCGACACTCACGCGATGAAAATTTTACGTAGGTACCGTGGTGAATGTGTATCGTCGATCGGTATCACGATCATCGATGTATCATTTACATTTCAATCCGGTACTAAAGAGAAAGAAACAAACAAAAATGAAAAAAAAAAAAGGAAAAAAGAAATGCATCGAGCTTGCCTCGAAGACACTCCATTTCCGTTCGACAATCCGCAACACACTTGCACCGAAATAGTTTCGCTATCCGATTCTAAAATGCTTACGAGCGTGACCACAGGTTTCTTCTTCATATACAGGGTTCATGGGAAACGCGCGCGCGGTCTACTGCGTTCGATTCAATTGTAAATGGACTAGAATCGAGGAGAGTAGAAGAATCGATGCTGCGTATGCATTGAACAGCCGAGAACGAAGTCTCGAATCGTTTCCATCGTGTGAGCAGTTTCTTCGACCATTCGAAAGGGAAATTCGATGGGAAATCTATCCAAAGACGAATGTATCCTCGTGATTCTCAATTCCGATTGATTCTGCCGACTACGGGAAACGATTCGAGACTTCGCTCATGGGACGAAGGGAAAAGAATAATAATAATAATGATGATACTGATAATTACAATGATAATGATAATATTAATAATAATAATAATAATAATAATTATATGATAATGTACCGCTTGTGTGTAATCGAGTGAGAAGGAGTGTCTGAATGACGTATGGTTGAGGAAATAGAAGTGGATACCGTGCCGGGATATACTACTTGTAAATACAATTAACACGTGCTGATCTACGAGTTGATTATCTATCGTTTTACTATCATTGTACTAAAGCTCGCGTGATCGCGCGCCACCGTGCGTAAGTCGGACCTAAAAACGGAAATCGTCGGAACGACCTAATTACAAATCGCAATGATTCATCGAAGCAAGCCTTTCTCGACGAATTGTTTCATTTCTATTTTTTCAATTTCTTTCCCTCCGTCGCTCGTGAACCAAAAAAAAAAAAAAAAAAAAATGAAAAAACCAGAAAAAGAACAAATACCTGCGTCAACGTGTTCTTCCCCCCGCTCGTTAAATCCGCGTTAATTATCGCGACGAAACGTCGAACAGAGCCTAAATTCGAATAGTTAATGGCGACTGCTGATCCTCGGTCGCAGAAAGAGACGCTATCGAAGACTTTTCACGCGTGTGCTCGCCTCGTCGAATATTTCCAGCGTCAGCTGGACGTGTTCTGATCGTTTCATTTGATTTTCAACGAAAACGGAACAAACTTAATCATCACTTGAGCGTCGAGAAACGAAGGGACGTCGTAATTTTGAAGCTTGTTTCTATTTCCAATGCATCGATTACGTAAGTAGTTTCCAGATACATATCTTTGACGTGCATAAGTTACAACAGATATATTACAGATATATTACATTTGCCGGGCAATTATTGTTGTTATCGGCGTGTAAATAGCGGCCACGTCCATCTGGAAATAATCGACGTTGAGCACACGTTGTAATTAACGTGATTCTACAAAGAAAACGAGCGTCCATCGACCAAACATTTTGCTCAGTTGTTTGAAAGAATCGCGTTAACGACATTCTCGATACCGCCGCTCGGCGATTTTTTTCTTCTTTTTTTTAAACGTATCTTTTCTCAGCATTGCGTTCGTTCGGAAGGTACACGCTTATATACAGTTTTTATAACGAAACCGCTTTTTCCCCCCCATCCTCGTGGACTAATTAATAACGTTTGAAAGCAATCATATCTTTTTCATATCTGTCGATCTAATGCGATCGGTGGGCGAGGAAATTGTGTGCAAGAAGGGCAGCTGCCCGTTTTCACGAACAATCGAAAGCCTTCGACTATTAACGAAAATTGTTCCTCGTCAGCGAGAATTCGAATTGATCGCGAGCAATATAACGTCACATATCCTTCCTCTTGAAATGTGATTCTTTGTATTCTTCCAATGAATATCGCTGTTATAACATATCGAAACGAATAATTGTGGCCAGTAATGTAATTTTTCTCCCGAGAGACGAAGAAAGGAAGAATGTTTCATTGTAACGAGAGTTAAGAAAGAAAAAGAGAAATGAAGGAAAAATCTATTTCGAGTTTTAAAAAAATGTTGCTTTCACGAATGTAATGCGTTTTTTATATATTATACATACATATATATATATACATACTCACGAAGAAGAAAAGAGGAGAATTTAGATTCGAAACATGTTACAATTGTATTTCTATCGGATGATCTATTTGAATTTGTAAGTGAAGAAGGAAAGGTTCGTAGGTTTCGTTTATACGTAACTTAATTACTAACTGTAATTCCGTTTATACTGTAACTTAATTACTAAATTTCGACTTTTGTAACCATTCTTTGCTACATATCGAAGGCGTTGCATCGTTGCAAACGTATGTAAGAATAATAATGGGAAAGAGAGGGGAATATTCTAAAAATTTTTTATGTTAATATGTCGCGTGAACCGTCTTCTCATTGTCGATCGATATTACCGAACCGCGGTACTTCGTTTCTTTCCGGTAAATTGCCTGTTACGATCGTCGTTTACGTGTGTCATTGTGAAAATTGCAATATATGCGATGCGTGCAATCTACGGAACGGTACAAACTAATAAAACCAATGAAAGGCTCGACGAAATGAGGAGCTTCATGATGCTCGTATGACTCACGGGAACGGGAGCGCGTACAAACAAAGCAACGGAGCGAGGAAAAATTTCAATCCATGCCTGAAAATTACTGCCAACCTAGATAGAGATCACAGGATCGATGTTTTTCCCTCTAAAGCTTCCCTCGTCCCTAAGAAAAATTATAAACCGCGAGACGAAGGGAATCGGATTGCCCTTGCGAAACTCGGCGAGATGAAAATGATTTTTTTTCGGGGCTTTGCGGTTGCGCAACATCGCGTTCACTGTTCGTTTATTTCTAACGGAGAACACCTAATCGCAGGAGAGCGATCGTCTGGAATTAGTTTTTTTACTTTGATACCGTCTTTACTGCGACCATTCGCCGTTCGCTGACCTAAAGTATTTGTGAGCTACACTGTATTACAAAAAGTAAGCGTTGTAAAGTGACTGTATATACAAATATAAATTATGCGATTAACTGGCGCGTCCTTCTCTCATTTTTCCCGTAGAAAAGATTCGACGATCTCAAATTTTCTCTTAGACGATCACAGAAATTTGTTAAAATCTAGGGTCAATCGATTTTATGTTTAATTCGATTTCGCGATTAAGTAAAGTCTAAATTAAATCTAATAACATCAGACTGTTTCTAAATTGTTCTCGAACAATTTAGAAACAGTATCCGTTAATCAAGTTTACGCTGACAGTCAGACGAAATTATCCGAGGATTTAAGCAATTACTTGTCTCTATAGAACGCATTTCCGGTCACTAACGATATTTGGATTCCGCGGGATTCTTACACTCGGATTTTCCGATTCCGTGATTGACTTGTAACATGATGGCGAAACTCTGGAGATGTAGCCGGTGCGATCGATTTCGAGTTCATGAGCTTCACACTGCGTTAGAGTGTCTATTCTCCAGACACGTGTACACGGTAACGTCAGCCTCCAATCCGTAGAACTTGATGTTAACGATGTCAAACTAGTAGGACACGACAGCGGCGACTATAGATCCGTCAAATTTACATTGACGAAGATGAGAATTGACCCTTGAAGATCTGATGTTCAACGACGTCGTATCATACGATGGAGTTCACAATCACTGAAAACAGATATTTGCACAAGTTCGTTATTTTACGATCAGAACTAGAAACATGATATCTAAGTAGATACATAAACATCGTATTATATACTTCGTGAAATGTTTCCTGTCGCCAAGATGTCAAGACGATTAGTTAAATGAAAAGAATCATATTTATTTCTTACCATTGCTTAAATACTAAATATGGATCGTTCGGAAAACATTCTTTCAATGACTCTTCAATTGCCCCAATTCTCGCGGTTCTCCTCAGATGAGAGTCTGATTTGCAAACTTCCAGCCATGTACGTGATACTTGCGCCGCATTCAACAAAGATACTGGATCCAATTTACGTAAAATCAATTGAGATATTTCCAAAGGAAGTTCAGCAATGAAATCCACTTTGACAGGCTTCAACACTCCAAATTCACGAAGGTGATACTTGAGGAATTCCATTTTCCTCTCAGTGTCAGAACAGAAATGCTAGCAAAAATTTGAAACCTGACTTATATACCATAGTTTGTACTTTTGTACCTTTATACCTGGTTTATACCTGAATTGTACACTCGTCATTGGCTGTTCCGTTTCAAGACTTGGCCAATTATGTACGAGTATTGGTATATATGTACATTTTTGTACATTGTATAAAAACATTTTCATATTATATGATGTATATTATTAAACTATATATTTTATAATTTTATATTATATAATATATGTAATATTATACATTACTATTTATATTATATTATATTACACACACATATATATATATATATAATATATATAATATATATATATACATGTAATGTAATATATACATCCTTATATATTACATATGTTGTTGGGCATATTTCATCTTGCGGTTAGTCAAACCATCAAAAGTCCATAAAAAATTATGCCAACAGTTACAGCATACAGCCTGTATACTTAATTTGACCGTCATTACACAATTCAATCGAAGTTTTAAAGAAACATCGTGAACACATTAAATGTCCAAATGATCAAAGAGACTTTTCTTGAAATCTGCTTCCCCTCACACCCATGATCGATTTGAACATTTAGATGTTTCAATATTTGCAGAAGTCTGTATTTTATTATAGATCTGATTTAGCTCTTTTAGAAGAGCTCCTCGTGAATGACCGTGTGCGTACTCTAGTATTCGATGTTCTTTCTGATTCTTTCACATTTTCATCCATGTTACGCGTACGAGCCAGTCTGGTGGACGTTTCCTGCGATTCAGCAAAATTTTCTCTTCCTAAATTCATATCATCTTGTATTTCTCTGTATTCTCTTGCCGTGGTTCTTAAATGACAATCAGACTGGCAAATACTCATCCATTGATGCGAGACCTGCGCAGCACGCAGCAGCGATTCAGGATCGAGTTGTCGTAGTATCAGCTGCGACATCTCTAGTGGAAGCTTGGAGATGAGATCGAACTTTTGTTCCGGGGAGCAGGTGGTACTTGAACAAGCTGACTTGATAGGCTCCATATTATCGAGCACGACGGAGGAATCGATGAAAATGATGACACGTGCACTGTTTCACACCGGCGTATGTCGCTACTGACCGCGATCAACTCACTTTTTATTTAGTGAGTAACTGCTTTATTTTTGTTGAATGATAAACGTTATCGCGCCACAAGTATTATTTTGCTATTGCGTTTTTCTGTTTTTTTTTTTTTTTCTTTATTTATAGCGCAGAATGAAAGAGATAGTTCGTAAAATGTTTCGAAACCGCTTCGCTACGCGTATTTAAATTCTCAAGTTCGTTGTTCACTTTATTTTCAGAAATTACGCCGCGGACAAATATTTATTATTAAAAAGACACATATATTTTTCAAATTACGAAGCGAAAACGATCGTATTAATCGAATTCAAATACGTATAACTTGTAATTACACGTACTCTGGAACACTATTCGGACAAGTAAACGTCAGCAATAACTAACTCCAATCTCTGGCGAGGCATTTTATAGACGGCTTCAAGGCATTAATCATGCCGACCTTCCCGATGTCGTCCCTTCTAATTGTACTTTCTCCTGAATTGAAAAAGGGACTGGGATATGGAAAGCATTAGCATGAGCAAAACAAAAGAAAGAGTCTTTAGGAGGCACCGTTATTAGAGGCATGGAAGAACCCTGGCACTACCGAAGCATATACAAGCACAGGCACTCAGCAATCACACAATACACAGCATTAGTCACACAGTCGTCATTAAATCTTGTACATAGTTGTTAAATATAAGTGTTTAACATATATTCGCATTCCATTCAAACCCTCTCTCCGACGGAAGTAAGAAATCGAACGAGAGAATTATCGTCACTTCACAACGGACAACATACACACACCGTTGTGCCTAAACGACACGATCAATCGCCATTTCGTTGCTGCGTAAAGTTCTCGATCATTCTCTAAATAAATAACGAGATTACAGAAATTTCAATAGAATAACCAAGAATTGCGATTATCACGCGAAAATTGCGCCACGTTGTATTCCCTTCCGTCGAAAAATTCCATCAATAACAGATTTGTCGAAGTTACGCGTAATGTAAATTGAAAAAAGACCGTCGCTCGGGGAAATGACAAATTCGAACAGAGAATTCGCCGATTCCCGCTAGTACGTCATTTGTTGGACCGATTCGTCGTGACTTGGCCCCGATACTCCCGTAATCGGCACAGTGTTTTCGACAGCCGATCGTTCTGCCGCGACAGCATCTCGATCTTCTCGCGATTCGAGATCAGTTGCTGCGTCATGTCTGCCACAGGATCGTCCTCAGGCTTCAAAACGGTATCCTCTCGGTTCGTTTTCATCGTACCACCGTCGTTCGCGTTTCTCTCGTTCTCTCTCCCGATCGAGATCAGCGAATTGCGCAGAGACGCGATCTCCTGTTGAAGCCTCGCCACCGTTCCCTCGTAATCTTCCTTCAACTGAAACCGACATGACGTTTCACCGAAATGTAAAATCTCGCGTTTCATACGGAACGGATTAAAGACACACTTTGTTATATCTCGTTATATCGCGAGATGTTATTTTATGATTCGACTACGGAGCCTGACAGTCGGAACGTTTGTAACGTCGGTGCAGTTCCCGCTGCAGCGGTTTCTAAAGGCAAATCTGGTAAATTCGTTAATCCGAAATTAGAACAGAAATCTCTGATTCGTCAAACAAACAAGCTGAGAAACTTCGCGGCGAAGTTTATAGGCGGGCGAATCGAGGAAAAGTGCCGAAACTGGGGCCAAGCTTTTGTCGACGTGGCAATAAACTTTCGAGCTTCGAAAGCCACAGGGTAAATAAGGAAGTTTCCCGAGATAGGTGGTTTGCATATAGGATTTTCAGCATCGTTGTAAGCCTGTCCCTATTATTCACACCTTGTTCTAATGATCTTTGAAAACGTGTCTTGTGTTAAATTGCTTCTCGTTAGCTATTAGGTAACAGAAACAGCCGAAATTTAACGAATATAAAGTTTTGACGCTTTTACGTGAAATACAAACACATTATCACGATTAATTAACTTAAGACAAAAAAAGAAAGAAGAATGATATTCGTAGATGATAATATAATACGGCGAAATTAACAATCAACCGTAGTTGATCGTAAATCCCGCCAAACTCTCGTATACACGTTGATTTAAACGAGCAGTAAATTAATTCACGATAGCCTATACTAGGTATCGGTATAGCGTGCCGACATCGGCTTAAACAGCAAGCAATTTCTATCGTCTGTTGTATCATTAACGCATCATACACAGAGAGGCAGTTAACACCCTTAATTAATAACCGAACAGCTGGCGCAAATTGGTGAAACGGAGGTTCGATGAACTTTGTTCGAAAATTAAGCGGTCTACGACACTCGTAAAGACATACACTGTTAAATCTGACAAAATTACCAGGGAACAATCTCCGTCGTTTATCCTACTTGCACCAACGTAATTTTCAACGCCTGACTGAAAATATAGAAAACATGTATAGGAAATTTTCACGTTCGTAATTTTGAGAGAAATAGAGCCTCGTGCTTTATATATTTTCTTGTAAGTGGATAAAAATCGACAATGTTGATTGCATACAGTCGTATGAATGTAATCGGAATATAATTCCTATATATTTCATACGTATCCCCACATGCATATATAACACATATTCTGCATCTTTAAAATTTCTCATAAATGGCCGAAAATCCGCGAGCCAGTAACAACCAAATGACGTGCAATTTCGTGTCCCTCGCTCCCTCCCTCTTCCCCCTCACTTGCATTTTTCCGCAGACTGCGATATCTCACGTGTATAGAAGTGTAATCAACGAGCACCATCCGCCCGCTCTTCGATTTACTTCGAGCAAGATGAGATATCGTAATCAGACGGGCCAACCTCACCGATTCGTTCCGCTTGCACGATTCGTCTAGAAGTGCTCGGCAACGTCGTTCCGCCTCGAGATACGCATCACGGGTGTCGACGATTTCCTTTCGGAGTCCGATCACGGTCTTCTCCAGCTCCAATTTGCTCTCGACCAGCGTAACCGCCTGACTTTGCAAAATGTTATTTTCGCCGGCTGCAATGAACGTTCGAAAAATAAGACTATCTGCCGCCACGGAATTCGGATCCACTCTTTCTCTTTCTCTCTTTCTCTCTATCCGTTTCGTTCGTCGTACGAACACCGCTTGTCAAATTTCGTTTGGAAATCTCGTTCCTCCGACAAAACAAGGAACGAATTTCTCGCGTTCCGATGCACGACACGGCCCTTTCTCTCCTGCCTCCCCTGTATAGCACTTTTTTTTTATACTTATCAAGCATCGACATCTGTCTGCGAATATTCTCCAGGGTTTCTTTCAACGTCTCGTTCCGTTCCTTCAGTGCTCCACTCTCTTGTGCATCCCTTTCGCGCTCTTCTTTGGCTGAAAATCAATATTCGAGCAAACAGATCGCTCGGTCGAATCCTGACGTTAATTAATGTCGCGTGAGATTTATCGTAATTAGTAATGGCTATCGAAAGATGGTCAACTGGCGAAGTGAGAGATTTCTGTGTTACGTGACGATATTCATCGAATCGATACGCACAAATCGATTAGGATTAATCGACAGATACGTTATAGATCTCGCGGTAATTTCTTTTGAAATTAAAACTGGGATTACAAACATAATGGTTCTCTGACTTCGGTATCAATGTAAAAATGATAAAGAAGTTCAATTTTTCACTGCAGTACGCGCGACCACGCTACCTGCTTGCCAGATGTAATAATTAAAGGGAGGAAGATAATTCTCTGGCTAAATTCCCTTTGATTGCGATCTAATAAAATACACCTTGAATCATACGTTGATTTTGATATCAACTTTATTTACTATTTTACTGCCTGTTTGTTATTAGGTACAAACAACTACTTCGGATTCGTAATATTGATTTTCTCTCAACACATTTATTTTGACTTTGGTCAGCAAAAATATTGATATAAATAAACAAATGAAAATATCTAATCTAGAACAACCTAGAACTATCCAACGCTAAAACAACCGTGTTAAAATATTCTATGCATAAATCATTATAAATTAAATTACAATTATAACGAATAGATTTATGTTTCTGTCCAAACAGAAAATAATTTTAATTTTCGACGAGAACACCCGTATCTTTTAAGTACTTGTCAAGTTGACCATGTTAACGAACTCGATTGTTATAGTATTAAAATACAATACAATTATTCCTGCAACGTTAATTACGATAAATAATAAATATTCGTACAGGCAACAGTCGATTTCAAACATCTCTTCCCAGGGAAAGTGTTGAAAGAGAAGAAAATCGTGGTAGAACGATGAAATAACCGATGTATTCATTTCAACCGATTGATCATCGGGCTGTACGTTGAAACTTATTCCCCTACTTTCGTGGCTCGCGAACGAGAAACAGATCTGGCGTCCCTATTCACCGAACATACATAAATCGTTCTTGATCGATTACCAAACCGAATCCACCTGACGCCGGTGTGCGCGGCGCGGCAGAAAAATTTCTCGATCGAATTTCCCGCGGGCTGTTCGACCACGATCACTCCCATACGTATTACATACATACATTCGGTGCAAATCAGCGCGGGTCATCGATTTGCTTCGTTGTTAGCCGCGATGCCTGACACAGCCATTACAACGACCAAGTCTCAGAGCTATTTAGAATTTAATCGATGAAAGAGACATCCATCGATACAATCGCGCACAATTTCCAGTCGAAACCTGTTACAAAGCGAGGGACAGAGCCGTTCTACAGAAAAGAATCGAAGAAAAAGAAGGGGGGAGGGAAGAAAGAGACGAAAAGAATAGAGCATCGTTTGAAAAATGATGACAACTAGTAAAAGAAATATTTATTGTAGTTAGCTTTACCACTTGTATATATTATGGGATTAGTATACCTGAGTCGACACTTTCTCCTGTGTAATCCAAGAGAGGGATAATTGTCGCTTGTTAAGTGTCGTTTGCAATTGTCATAGCGAAAGCTAGGCCTGGGACTTAAAATATTAGGGTATGGGTTGTGTTCGAGAGTAAAGACGTAGAGCGTAACGAGTTGTGAGAGCGACAGTTATAATATTTTTGTCATCGTATTAGGACTTTTATTCTGTTAATCTCTATTTTAATAAACTTTATTAGGTAAAATATTCTTCTATTAATTTGTACAGAATTTCTTTTTCGAGAGTGAATCGATAGAACTCCACAATGCAGTATGCAAAAGCTAATGTCAAGTATGAATAGAATCGACTACAGTGAAATTAGCATAGGAATCAAAGTACCAATGGGAAAAGATATATAAGTACAGACAGAAATAGTTTAGTACTGCAGCAAGCACAAGCTATTATTATAATATCTTTATATCTATAAGCTTCGAAGTGGCTTCGAAGTCTTCTGTCGTTGAAATAAACAGTTCTAGTAAAACTGTAAAGTATAATTCTTAATTATACCCTTACCTATAACGCAACAACGGACAACATTAAATCGAACGGAGATCCACGACGTACGACTTCTACCACGAAATATACCTTTCAGCGGATTAACCAAAAAAAAAAAAAAAAAAAAAAAAGACAAAATTATGAACACTTAATCAAGAAGATTGACCCTACCTTCTGTAAAAATCTGTTACAGGTCAACACATTCTACGTGAATGCACAAACTTTGAGTGACAAAGAAGATTTTACAACTGCCTTAACTTCCCAAAATCATCTGAAGAGAACACTCCAATACTTGATGGACATAAATCAGAATAGAAGTACCTGTAATATGTAATAAACCTGCACAAAAAAAAGTATCTACCATTCTCTAGTTTTTTTTTTTTTTTTTATTATCTCCAAGAACCTTCACAGTTTGTCCAGCAAGGACATTCGGTGAATTATAGTATCGGGTGTGGTTTATTAGCATGTGGATGTTATCCCTGTGGAAAAACATCTGATGTCGTTCGGAAGGATCCTTTGGGTGCTTCCTATGCAGTCTAGTTACATATAATTTTTTTGCTAAGTCGTTTGGGTGATTGTCTTTTCTTTTTTTATATCTGTCGCAGCGACTGGTGATTTTGTCAATAACTGTTTTAATTTTGAGGTCCTTCCGGATTTCGTCATTTCGAACACGGAGCATTGGTTACTGTTCTAAGGATTATAGGTTGTAATGCTTTTGGCAACCATGTCCCACATTTCGATGCCATAGGTCCAGATAGGCTTTATAATTGCTTTGTATATTAAAAATTTATTGTCAAGACTTAGTTTCGATTTTTTGGACGTAAGCCATTTACCATTCTCTAGTAGATTCTTTAACTGCATATTCTCGGCGTGCAACGCGTCCGTTCGTTTCTCCTGCGTCGTCAAGCTGGCCCGTAGCTGCCGAATCGCGTGGTCGTGATCTCGTCTGGCGGCCTGTGCCCTCAAATTGCTCTCGTTCGCCATTCTTAGCGCCGTCTCCACGTCCGTTCCTATTCCTTTCGTCAGCCTGCTCATCACAGCCCACTGAGTCTTCTCGTAAATGTCGTTCTTGCATTCGTCTCTGAAACAGCCGCGCGATCCGTGTCAACGAGCGACGGGTGCACACACGTGTGTTTATATCCGAGGTCGCTGGTTTTAACAGTCGGTGTACCAGCGAAAAGGGGCTTTGCAGCAACCCCGGTACACGTTGCAACTTGTGCAACTAGATTATTTCTCGCGAGAGAGACAGAGAGGGGGGGATTTCTTCGCGTTCTCTGTCTCTGCGCGCCTCGCGCCTCGCATTTTCTAATAAAAGTGAAAATAGGTGCTGCTAAAGCGGGAGTAGCTCACTGTTGCAAACTGGCCGTGGGCGGTTTCCACTCTTCTTCCGAGAGTTACAGTGATATAAAGTGCATGCATAATGTAAAGTCGCGCGAAACGTGCAATACGCCCGTCTCGTTGAAGTTACGCTCCTTTTTCCTTTTTTTAAATCGTTTACTAACTACCGCCCGGCAGCGAACCCGGTACGTGTTAAATTTACGAAGAGCGAAGCGAATAGGAGAGTTACAAACGACGTTACGTGTTGCGTGATAATATTCAGAAACTCTTTGAGACGTGTAACGTGCTCGTCACAATGGAACGTAAGTGTTGAAGTATCATACAAATAAAATGCAATAGGACTTGAGACAAGCGCAATGTTTTATATCCATCTTCAAATTCGCGGAATCAATTACAAATATTTGTGTCTAGGCTGGCTAAAAAGTAACCGCGTTCTTTCGTGTGCAAATGAAAGAAAAATTTTTCGTGAGAAAAATTTTATTAGATAACGTACTGACCGTTTTGTTCGATTACCCTTTGACATTTCGCGCTGAAAAAAATTCATGTCTTCCTTCAACAAAGAATAGAATGATTTCCAAGAACGAATCGACTAAATTTAGCAAATTAATTCTAAAATTGCTCTCTTCACCATACATATTTTGCAGTAGAGCAAAAAATGACGAAAAATGTTTCTCTTCGGTCCTCCATTTTGAAATCGACTCCAAGCGAACAATTGTTAACGTAATCGTGTATTTTCTTTCTCTAAAACAAGCTTGAACCAGCTATCAGATAACACAATGAATTTGCTTGTTTAACCCTCAGAGTACTGTGCCGAAGTCATTTTTGACTCGCTGGATTCAGGCTACATACACAAAAATAGGCCTCTCACCATCGGTTAGTTCATTATAGCAAGTCTTATTCCTATTACAGCTGGTTACCAGATGTGACGGCCATCGACAGGTAATAAACTACTACGAAGAACGAGGATACACCGACATACCTTTTTTGAATATCTTTCTCCTTTTCAGCATTTTCAGTATAGTCATTTCTTTATTCTTTCTTTGTAATTGCTAAAATACAGTAATATTCATACTTTTTCTCTGGAAATACTTAACACGACAAATAGGAAAATATAGCCTCAAGTTTATATAGTTTCTACTCGCCAGTCTGCTTCGGACAGTATTCAAACACGCGGCAACAGTTATCATTGTTGTTTTCATTGTTTTTATTTGTTATTTGTTTATTTGTTTGATATGTCCATGCAACAAGCAAACGAACTGCTCTTTCTCTTGTGGAAAATTATCACAACGATGTTGAATAAATATTTTATAAACCACGATGCTGTTATATATTATATTTTTCTATATACATCTAAAATGCGAACATTACATACAATACGCACGTATATCGATGAATGTTCAACCCTCAGCGTATTGGTGTAATGTTCGTGAGGATCTTGAGTCTCGAGCGACCGTAAATGCGTCTGTATTAGTGGAATATCCGCGTGAGTCAGAAATGGCACAGGACTTCGGGCTTCAGTACACGGAGGGTTAAAGTAAAATTAATTACGTATGTACATTCACGTCTATATCTATTGAAATAGAAAAAGAAGAAACAAAATACACAATTACTTCTTGGCCAAGCCGTTAGTAAATGGAATGTTCTAGTTCGAGACGCAGGAAACATTCTAAGAATTTCAATTGACGTACACACGTTTCTCTGGTAAGAGCACTCTCGTCTGGCTTATGGTTGTGCTTACAGGATATGCAAATTACACTCACTTCTCAGTGACGGCGACAGAAATTAATTTATTCTCCAGGAAGACCTGCTCGATCGCATTTATCGCCTGAAGAATAGCTTCCCCAGCCAGCGTGCAGCTCTCGCAGTAATTCACGCTGCTGCCCGCTTGAGAACTCTGGGACACTTTGCTCGCTTCGAACGTCTTCCCTGTTTCGTTCCCGCTATTCTTCACCTGTTGACGTTGCTTCTGTTTTTCGGCTTCCCCCGATCGAATGAGGCAAATGAAGTTTTACAATCTCCGTCGTGTGCTCTCGATTCGAGCAACCCTTTCTATTTCTCACTCCACTCTCCCATTACGTTTATTCCCTTTATCTTTCGCTCCCTTTGTTACTCTTGTTCTTTATGATTTAATTGTTTCTTTTAAGGCTTTCTCTACCTATTGTCCGAGTTTTTGCCCCTCCCCCCGTTCTTCCGTTGCGCTCGCACGCGCCCAACAATTAAAATGTAAAAACTGTTCTCGCGCGAGGAAGTAAAAGGAAACAGAGGAAATACGAAGTACGAATTTCGCCTGCCCACCACGAGGAAAATTTCTTTTTCAAATATTTACTCGACTAACCATACGACGGGATATCGAGTCAGGCATTGTCTTCAATCGGTCCCAAACAAGTCGCAACAGACTGGCCAACGAAATTTGATTCGAACGACTGACGCAGCCCGCTTCACTGAAGAAGTCCTCGACGAACGGAAATTTGTCCATAAATTCCACGATCAAACGCAGAACGAAATGAATTCTGTAACAAAGTCTACTTCTTGGACAAAGTAACGTTTGTGTACGGCGATGGAAATGAAATAATTTTAGATAAATTTGCGATCGAAGTGACCGTGTTTGACTAACAAACGAACGCCGATTTTGATGAAATTTGGTATGCAGTTTTAAAAAAAATATTCGACCCGTATTTTTTTTTTTATTGGCAATGTTGAAGAGGTGAAATTTATCCTCAAAGTTTAGCGGTGCAAAACGTATTTTGTTAAACATCTTGGAAATTATTGAAGATATTGTTTTTATGTAAATTCATGAAATTTAGTATTTTCTAATGATATATTTAACGGTGTATACCGTTTTGCAAAAAAGCCTTTTGTTTAAACAATATATTAAAGATAAACAATATTTTTGATAAGGTACATCAAGTAAATGTTAACAAATTGTCTCGAATATTTGTCTATGAATATATTCAAACACAAATTACAGATGAAATGTGGGACCTTGATTTTTTCATTACAAAAAAATTCATTATTTTCGAATCTTTCTCGCTGGATGTGTATACTAGAATTGTTCTCTGTTCGTAAATACGTTTTAAAATGTTAAATGTTAAATATATTTTAGCTCCGATAAAGGTTGATTTTATTGTTCAGAATTTACTACTTGTAAGAATCGTTCCGACGAAAATTGATATCGTCGAGTCTCTCGATACGCATAAAATACAGGAACTATGAATACAATCGAGAAAAAGAAAAAAAAAAAAGAATAGATACACGGAGAACGTGAATCACCTCAGCCTCGAAATAGTCTCGGACGTAGAAACACGAGCAATAAGTTGTTGAATCGGAAATGGCCTCGCGAGGCAACCGAGTGCACCGAACGTTTCGTTGCGTTCCGTTCGAAAAGCAGTCTGTTCCCTTTGACGATACCACGGTCACGAAACATTTACACGCCTAATTGAGTCGCGTGAACCGCGTGCACGCCGCGATGAGAACTTCAGGCGCTCGTTCGCCTTTCATTGTGCGTGTTCTTCGCGCGTTCCGCAAAACAGGAAGATTTTCCCTGCCGGCCTCTCGTCGGCGTTATTTCGTTTTGCATCGTCGGTGAATTCGTGCAAATACAAAACGCGGCACGATCGAGGCAAGAAAGACGATGGAAATAGAGTGGACGGATGAGAAAGAGAGAAAGAAGAAAAAGAAAAAAAAAGAAATGAAAATGTGCCAAACAACCTGTCGTAGGCCAACTCCAGGAGAAGAATATAGAATTCCCCTGCGGTTCCGTCGTGCTCTTTCACAATTTCCATGGCATTTATGCCTTTCGCGGCTTTCGTCGGGAATTTCCATGACAGATGTTCGATATCGCCGAGCCACGAATATATCTCGTTCGAGACATGTACACACTCCCTGATATCCGCGATGATTGACGTTACCAGGAGCTTGTTCAGTTTCGGCATGATTCCGAAACATTGCGCAACAATGGCACGCAAAGGTTAAGGATCGTGGATCATCGTGAACGTTGTTCAAAGTCACGGGGCCGCGACCGGTTCGATTGATACCTCGTTCGATTGAGATTAATCGATCGCTTTGTGCACGTGCTGCCACCGCGTGCAGGAAGGAAGAGTAGCTAATCAACTTTTGGTTACAACGTTGCCGATCGTTTAGCAACATAGTCGGGAAGAGATTGGTAGTTTACTATTAACCTCTTGCGCTGGATTGACGTGCCACGTCGAGAATTCTTTGCTCCAGAATTGTAATATTTTCTCAGTTTTAAGTATATTTAAGTAAAACAAAATAAGCAAAACAAATAATAAATTTATTACTTTTCAATCATTTCTATCCAGTGATGTCATACCGGCGAGTTCAAGAAGAAAGCGACGAATTATTTTATACGGCGTTGGTCACTCGTTATGGTCCGCAATCAGTTGCCAGGCGCAAGTGGTTAATGTTAATTTCCTGTAATGTATATATCTCCCGCATTTGAGAACGACCAGAAACGTAAGAATTTTCTAAATCTGATTAACTTTTTCTTCGAAGGAGAAAGAGAGTGTCACGTTCGTTTGTAGGATTAAAATTAATAAACAGAGGTAAATAAAAATAAATAAGTAACAAAATGAAAAACAATTTTTATTACGAATCCGTCGACAGAGATTTTAGCGTACTCTCTCTCTCTCTCTCTCTCTCTCTCTCTCTCTCTCTCTCTCTGGGAGCATGAGCCATTATTATCTGAAATCGCCAGAACATTGAATTTACTTCGTACAGTTTGCTGATAATTTCATACAAAATACGCTTAAAATACGTTAATCTCGCGCGCTTTCCATACACGTCGCGTCTGCGTCAGTATTGTTCAATTTCGTTCAATTGCGATTTAATGAGCGGCATAAAATTCGTGATAGCAAACTGCGTTACGTGACGCGTGCAGCCCTCTGCAAGAAGTTGGACAATCTCGATTCGCAGATTCGTATCGGAGCGATACGCGAGGGAATACCTACTCGTGAAAACATTCGCGGACCGTCCTTATTCCGTGTCCTCGGATATAAAACTTTCAAAATTGCCTTTGTTATTACGCTCTCTGTCCCCGTGTTATTCTTATTATTATGCACATAAAATTTCATCACGTTTGCTCTCTCTCTCTCTCTCTCTCTCTCTCTCTCTCTCTCTCTCTGCTCTGCTAAAATTTATTTCCCAAAAGGATCGGACGTTCGACGAATGTGACGCTTACTTTCAATTTCATCGAAACTAGCAGCGATTCAGATTCGCCATTGTTGTTTCGCAAACTTGTGAGAGTAAAAGGTATTCCTTAGTTTCTATTCCCTTAGTCTTTGGTTCTCTTTGTTCATCTTTTTATTCGCCTCTTAAAAACTGAATATAATTAGACTGCACGCTTCCGCATGAATTTATGGGATGGTTGAAAAAATACACATGGTGTGCAGAAATATATACACTGTTATAATATTAGTTTAAGCGAAATAAATTTTTAATTCTTTCATGGATAACTATGGTGATTTACAGCGAAGAGCATAACTGAATCAATAACAGTGAAAATTTGTTAAAATTGTCGATAATTTAAACTGTCGTAACAGAATAATTCTGTTATGATAGAATATAAGTTACGGAACATCATAAAGAAATATTACGCAACAAACTTATTTTGAAGTTTAGGATCTTTACTTTCACAATTTTTAGTTTTTTTCCAAAGATGATTTATATCGCATTTTATATCGCATAGAAAAATAAAGGTACTTCTTGATTGTAAAAATTGTAAAAATTCAAGAATCTGTGAAACAAGAAAAACTTTTTTTTTTCATGATTGGATCTACCATGATCTTAAAGAGTTTCTCTTTACAACGACCTCTCGTAGACTTGCTGTAACTTTTTTATTATTTTGCTGAACTCTGAATATTAAATGCTGAATTGTTAAGACTTTTCAAATTTTTGTCATTTAATCTTTACGTCGAAATTCAATGAAATGCTTCAAGGAAAACTCATGTAGCAAATTTTAATAGTTCGTTGTAAAGGGAAAAGTTCATTCTTTCAAAATAATGACAGATCCAGTCACGAAAAAATTTTTTCAATGTCCTCTTTGAAAAAACATGAACTTACGGTTGTCAAAGTAGAGGTTCTGAGCTTTATAATAAAACCAAGTTGACTGTTGTATGATTTCTTTTTATAAAGTCAATAATCTTTCATCGTCATTGGTTCAATTGTGCTTATTTCTAAAATTTTTGATATTTAATTTCACTTCGTGTTATTCTCCCTGATCAAGAACTGAACGAAATTAAAAATTCCAAAATTGTGTCCATACGAAAGTATAAATATTCTCAGTCTAAATATTCCCACATCTTTAAAATATACTAAAATATCAGTATACCACGAACGAACTGTCGTCAAAGTAGGTATCGCGTTCCCATTTCTTTCATGGGGCCAAGTATGTTTATTGCGATGATTATCGCGGTCCGCTTGATGGCATGTCGAGTAGAAATCCACCTAATCCTCCACCGAGTATAATTTATTCGTCGAAAGGAAGTGGAATTCAATACGTTCTTTCCCAGGCGTCTTATCGAAATTGTAAATCAGCCTCGGCATCCGTAACTTCGTTCGGAAACGTGTAAGTATAATCGTCCCCGCGAGGGGCGAACTTGCGCCGGGCCATTTAATCGGGGAAACTTTGCCGGTGGATAATCCGCGGAGTTCTTCAAGCAGTTTCCGGTTCTTTGATGAAGTCGCGAGCACGCTAATCTATTCGCGATTCTCTAGATATAATCTTCGCCAATCCCAGAAGCAGACCGTCGGCACCGGTTCGAGCCGAGTGTCAATTCGCCTCGTTCGCTGATACGTTCATCGAGCGGCAGAAAGAGTTAGATAGCCCAATTGACGAGAGATCTCATTGAAACGCCTCTAATTCGTTCGACGAAACTTTAATTGAGTTCGCGAGATTCCCAGCGACGAGCGATTCCCGTCGAACGCGATTTTATTCGCGACACGTGAAAGGTGAACTCGAACTTGCTGTTAACTCATTAGGAATGGAGCGTAATATTATAAACGTAGTATCGTAG